CGCTATCTCTGTAAAGCTGCATATATGTGTTTGCACGTGATAGTGTCGTCTTAAAACACCAGCTCTGATGGCTTGGATATGTTGTTTCAGTAGCTAGCATACATTTCACTGTTAGCTAATTCTGGAAGTGATTGAAAAAGGTAACCAGCACCCGGAGACACTGCGAAAAAAGGATAGTTCTGCTAAACTAGTCTCTCTTAGTGCATCATGACTTCTTCGATGAGATTATGTGACTCCATCAATTGCTCGAAAATTTATGAAACAGTTGTAGCTGAGGGTTGAAAACAATAACAAACATACTTGAAAATTAATCTGAGCTTCTAGTGGGAAGCCGTGACCAGTAGGGTACAGCAGGTTGAAGGTGAGGCAATAACTTATTGAAGAAGACATTGCAAAGTGGTTGCTCTATGTCATGAACTGGCAGAAGTTAGAATTCATGGGCCATTGGATTGGGTCCCATTGGCTTAACGGTCTACGAGCTCGCTAGTCTTGTAACCAGAAGGTCCTGGGTTCGAACCCCGTGGTGCGGGGTACTCTCAGACTTTTCAATGGTTCTCTAACTGATGTCAGCTCATGATGAAACCCTCCACACCAATCAAGCATGCTACAGTTTCTGTGTTACTTCTCTCCTCTCCCCCAAAGGGAATAGAAGCTAATAAGGGCTATTTCTGCATTTGCTTGATAAGCATACGAAGGCTGTCTTATTCCTATTTACTTTCTATTATATGGTTATCTTAAATAGCGTGTTTCTCAGTACCTGTGTTGCACTAATTTTCAGTTTAATAATAATAATAACTATAATAAAGCGTTAGAATCCAACATCTTTAATTTGTCTTTTTGTTCTTTTTATGCTTTATATAGAATTCAATAATCGCCTCTATATATTCATTCATAGAAATTGTGGTCCGATGTCTTTCACTGTGATGAATTATGTGATCAATATTTGTTGTTGTTTTTTTTTAGAAAAACTTATTTATATTATAACTTTTTTTAATTGACCTTGATAAGTGATACTTTTACTCTTTTTCAACAAAAACAAATTTTTACACAGCGGTTCGCTATGTACACAGATGCACACACACACGCATACATAAAAGCACACTTTATGGCACACACATATATGCACACTAGAATTATTTCTACTTTTAAATATGTGATATATTTTCAAACCAATAGAAAAATGTCTACTTTTACTAGACATTTATGCAAGGATCTTGTACAGTTCCAATTACCGCCATATAGCGTGACTAGTTAATATTAAAACTAGATTTAACATTTTTTTTAAACACTGGAAATGTGACACTGAATACACAGTTAGTTTCCTTGACTGATTGATCTCTAACTGCCGAGAAAAAGTAAATCAAAGGGGGGGGAAGACTCTATAATTAATCTTGTGGTGTTTTGTAATACAATTAAGAGGTAATTTCCGTGCTACACATACTAACTACAACTTGTACTCTAAATCACATAAGGACAAGACGGATCGTAGTGGTTGCTGCGGTGTGTGCTACTGAGAAGATTTATAAGTAGTATATAGATGTAGACATAAATATCTATATCATCTGCGAAAATGTAGAATAGCAGGAATATGGATTTAATGAATAATACTTGTGGAACAACTTGGAACGAAGACAAAGAAGCACAATACCGATGATACGTGCAAATTGTGATATATATAATCCCGCTGCAATATACTACTGTTCTCTGCCGTCACACTGGCGTACTATCAAAATAACCGAAATTCAGACAGACAGTAGTAGTATTGTTTTGGCTACTGTGATGAATGCATACTACAGCCAAATGACTTTGAGCCAACTAATCATATGGTTAACCTTCCAAAATGAATAGATCTATAGAAACTGGTGTGTTATGTCAAATAATGACACTTATGTGAAACTGGAACACATTCTTTTACAGCTAAACTGTGTTCCACTTTCTTACAGGTGTCTTTATTTGACTGAAATATAAAACCAGGGCGAAGTTTAACTACGACAGCCAAAACCACAGTGAGTTTGGAAAACAAATCAGGATTCAGATGCAAAAAAGTCATTAAAGAGTGCACTAAAAAGTATTGCAAGCATGATATTACACTGAATAATTGCCACTTATATGTTATAAGGATGTCTTCCAGTTTCTCCAAGGATAATCCTTAGAGAAATCATACCATATGCGTTACGTGTATTCATCCAGGTGACTACAGATCATGCTACCTCTGTATCCATTGATATCCCTGGACTCTGTTATTTAACCTGCCCCAAAATCCTCTGACAGAGTTTGTGCTGGTGCCATTGATGGGTTCAGGAAATTGGAGTGGTTAACACGGTGGTGAATGTAACCCAATACAATCCCATCCATATGTCTGTATGAATTGTTGTTCATGGTATTACCAAGCGCTGAATGATTGTTATTAATACGGCAGCACTTTATTGAATATTGATCCTACAAGACTTTTGCGTAGTGAAGTGTCGTATACTGTTAGCACCCAAACTTGATCAGCCCTTCTGGCTCCTATATTATACTTCTTTATAAGGACAGTTTCGTCAAATCCTCTTAGACAAGCAGCAATCCTGTATAACCTCCATGATGCAATGTCTTTACACTACTGATACCACTGCACTGTAAAGACCAGGCTATTTTCTGTCTTCCTGCTGCTGCCATTATAGGCCTTTGGAAAATCCAACAGTACATAGGCCGTAGGGTATTCGACAAAGACAGTTTAGATATACAGTATCTAGGGAATAAGCAAAATACTGTACCTACTCTCATGAACGGATTTCGTCTTATAGCATAAATTACATTTATAGCGATATTTGTCTGTTGCAAGGTTGTATTATCTTATCGCCATACTCTACCTACACGCACACAAGTCTTAGTGATTCTAATCAATCCGTTATTGACGCATTAGTCAAATACTCGGTCTGCATGGAACTCATTCAGCTTATCAATAAAGGCAGGCATGATTTGGAATGACCTTTCGGAATGCTCCTTCAGTCTAATTCTCTCTGAAGGTCAAGTTTTGACAGCCCTTGACTTTGGCTCCTACAGATAAACTCCGCCCGATCCAGTTTCCATACAGATATTAATTGTGAAAGGTTAACAATCTGATTGGTTGTTGCCTATTATTTATTTATTCAACAAGAACACCCAGGCATAAAGTAATAAGAAAAGTACAATTAGAATATTGGGAAAAACCCCATAAAATTAGAATAATATGCTAGTTCATTACGTCCACCTGTATTACTAGATTAGAAAGCAAATAAACAAGCCCAAATAACTTATTGTTTCACAAACACCAATGGGTGTGGAGTTTAGTAAGAAATATTTACAAATCTACGGTCATGATCGTTTATTTTTACGTTACTAGAATACATCCAACCAAATGGAATACAAGTTTTTTGCATCAATAAGTTCTGCACGGGTGGTTTGAAATTTTTCACTACTGAGGTCAAGGCTTCTTAAAGTTATTGTGTTTAACAACACTGTATATTTAGTAGTGTGACGCTTTTGATGTTCAACAGGGTGATAAGAAGTGAGTACAGTCGCGCCATTAGAATTGATTCGAGCTATTTCCGCAACGACTCCTAGCATCCGAGAAACCTTCACGACGACGTTTAGAGTTGGCTGCAGGGAATAAAAAGAAGTGAAGCCTTAGGGAAACAACTCAGTTGTTTCTAGAAAAGTAATTTCCGAGTCAGTATATGGTAAAACTTGCTGTGTCGATTCTGAAAGTGGTCTACGCAACCTCCTAATTGCATCTCCTTACTTAGGAAACATCTTGGAAATCTCTAATTATTACCACTAGTGTGTGTCTGTCTATTGCAACATCATTTCATTTTTCCTTGCTCAAGAAGCCTAGGAGCTTATTTTATTACGACCCGGGGAAAACCGGCCTCTTGATTAGTTATTATTTCTATACTTACTAACGAACTTAACAACAATTTTTATACCTCTCCATTATGCTACTTAACAACGTGATATTAGTATGCACAACATTTACGATCAATAATTTGAAATTTTTTTACTCTGATATGAATGTTGGTTGTATGCAGCTGACGAGAACCAACAAGACATAATGACGTCACTTTACCCTACTCAATGTGTTCTTCTTGCTTTGTTCAAGTCATACGCAATTGTTACTGACTTACTAAACTGCTTATGCGCATACTTGAATTTTTGTGCTTTCATATGTTTTATTCCATTGTGATGTTATTACAAATATTCCACACCAAAGAACTGATTTCTATTAATGAACAAAAGTATACCAAACTAATTAAAGGTTAAAGGTCGTAGGCAGCTGAAGAGAAACCACAACATAAAATAGATCCACGTTATTTCGCACTATATTCGTCATAGCACAGCGGCACTAGTTCGCTTCGTCACAATTCAAAGCAACACGCACGAAAAGGTAGAGAACAAGGATAGAAAAAAGTGGTTCACTCTAAAGTAACGACAATCTTTAGTAGTCTGAGGATGATGTAGAACAAATTAACTCGTGCCACGTATTTGCTTTTAGATCATGTTTTACACTAGTGATTCTTTATGAAGATACAGGTCATCGGCTTAAGCATTTGACGTTTAGCCAGTAGGTCTTGAGTTCAATTAAAAACCTCACTCGATTCAGCTAAGCCAAATGGATAGTATCACCAGTACTCATAGCTCGTATTTAACGAATCTGTTCCAGATAACTAAATTCTAAAAATAAAAAAATAGCTTATTCTTAACTTCAGGATGACACCAATCAAAGAACTCTTGATTTTTCCTGCAAGGCTCAGACTAGCAATCAATAACTTTATGGATTAGTCCCACATCTTAGTCGGTTGTTCTCTTATGGTTAATCCAAGTACTTATCCAAAAATTAGAGAGCTATCTACAACACAACTTGAAATAATATCGACTGAAGGTGTCCAACATTAAACTAAACTTTGCTGCGTGTGACGGTGTATCGATCGGCTACATTCATTCATGTAGTTAAATTATTAAATTGTTGCTTCACAATAAGCATAACACTGAGAAGAAAATAAAATCAGCTTTCAATTTATTCACATTTGTTAACCAGAAACCTGAGAAGCTTTTGCAATACTTTCTGAACAGAAATTTGAAAAGCAAGAACAGGGCGGCGTCACATGCATGCAATTAACTTCTCAACAAAGACAGTATGTATACACCATATCAAAAATTTGTCACAATTTCGGCATAAGAAAAATTCTCGTCAGACACGCACACACACACAGAAACCAACAGGTGGGAATGTAACTAACTTTGTGCGGAAAAGCAAAACATACTATAGAAAAAAAATTTCATATTGTTATTGGTACAAAACTGTACGTATATATATACAAATGATAAGGGTGAACATTAGGTTCGCAAACTTCTATGAATCCTTATCTTAGATAGTCTTAGACTGGTGTTAATATTTTGAAGAAGTATAATTTCTTGTTTGTTTGTTTTTTCAATCAAAATTCTTAATATGCCTAGTCATCTAATTCATGTAATTGGAATCGTTCTTCATCGTATAGTTTGGCTTGTACTACACGCCCAGCAAAATAACGCTGATTTAAAGCACTACACGCTGATTTCGCATCATCTGATCGATCAAACTGTATGAAAATGCGTACATCTTGGCTTGCCATTATATGGATTAAGACACGTAGAACAGAACCATAATTGCTGCATTCTTCCATTACTTCTTCTTGAAGTTCATCGTCCACCTCATTCACTCCTACCATATTTTCAAGTAATAAAACCCTTCAAAGAAAAAAAAGAAGAATGATAGTGGAAATGTTTGATTAGACTACTAAAACACTTACAATATATGAAAATACTAAATAAATAACTGCCTAGAATCATAACATAAAGCGAATGGGTACTGACTGTACTATACTGTACTGGAGACTTAAAATTTGTAAGAATGATAGAGTTAAACAAAAGGAAACTCAAAAGGTCTAGAAATCTGCAGTATATGGGGTAGCTCAGAAATGAAATCTTCTAGTGTCGACCAAACTACTTCACTCTGGTATTTCTTATTTTCTAAAGTTTTCCAGGAGTTGGTAGCAAAGGAAACATAATTATTACTATCACCTATTCTACCGAGAAATGTTACACATTTTGTATCATTCTCAATTGATTAGAAATAATCATCAAATTTATTTCTGTCAGTCTACAATAAGAATGGCCTTTGAAAAGAATCTTTATGAAGTCGAGGGAAGCATTAAATAATTTTTATTACTGACTGGTCTTATTACTCAGGCAGGCGATTCCCCTGATGACTATCACTATAAATGTGGTACTTAAAAACAGTTCAGTAACATATCGTCTTAAGGAGGTACGTAAGTCCTTGTTTTAAGACTGACTGACCGAGTTTCAACGTAGAATTTCGCAAAACAAGTGCAGCAGTTCAACTCCCCACATCTTATACACCACACAAAGGTAGGGAAAAATAAGAGTTCAAAGGAAATATAATGAATGAAAATGTGAGGGAGAACGAATGAGTACGTGAATAATAATAATACGGATTTGATGGACCCAGGAGCCCATAGAGGATGAATGTATCTGTGCCACTGAGAATTATTTTGAGCCATATCATCATCATCAGTCCCTATTTATTGATTCTCAGTATCTTGAAGACCCCAGTCAGCTTCTCTACACCTTCCCACGTACCTCAAACCAATAAGTCAACGACCACGTTTTCTATCTGACCACCCCCTAACTCTTTTCCAACCTAATCCCATGTCGGTTAACATTGCTCGATGGAGAATTTGACTGTCTGGTATATGTAACACTGTATGTTATCAGCTTCTTCACTTAAAAGGACTATATCATCTACATACTACACACTGAACCTTGGCAACAAACCAATCTGAGTCTCTAAACTCGACCCCTTCAGTACATCTTTGATAAGATCAAACAAAAATTGAGACGGACACCACTTTAGATGATAACTCTCCACAAACTCTTACATGACTTTGAATTTTAGTAGAGTGCCTTGATCAGTGCAATATACTTTCTTGGTACTGCTTTCACGACCAGACATTACCACAACACTTTTCATTCGACGGTGTCCAATGCCACTTTCGGATAAAGAAATATGGCAAGTGTTGGACACCGGTAAGTATGCTTTCGTGTTCTAAAATCTGCCGAATGGCGAAGATTCTTTCTTGTTTTAAGAAAGGATTACAACTGTCTGCTGTGTAAATCTACATCCAAATCACCATCAAGAAATTTTCAAGTGATAACAGGTAAGTGTAGATGAAGATGAACTTAAAGGGTAAAGATAAAAAGACATAACACTTACATTCACTAGGATTTGAAATCTATTTGTCAGCGCTGAAGTAAAACCACATCTTTTATTAAGAAACTATCTATAACACACTGTAATAGACAGAATTTCTTAAGGTAAGTCTTAGAATCAAGGGTGGCTTTTTAAACTGGACGAGGGAATATCTCATAGACAGGAGATAGAGAGTTAGGAACAACTCTAAACTCAACACCTGGGCAACGGTATGTAGTGAAGTGCCACAAGACACTATATTCAGCTTCCTATGAACGAATTACTTGGGCTCACCGAATCTCCAATGTTTTTCTACAGAGATAACCAAAGAAATTTGAGGAGAGCTAAAGGATGAAAACGACTTGATCGTGATGCAAAGAGATCCCAACTGATAGATTGGTTCAAAGAATGGATGCTCCCAAATAACGTAACGAAGTGCTTATAACCATGCGCATTAGACACGCAAGCGTCACACTCCCATCAGTTCAGACTAATATGGATCTAGGTGTCGTAATAAGTTATAACCTAAGAAATACAGCATTCTACCGCGCTGTGGTAGTTCGGAGTTTTAGATCTTTATGGGCAATACCCAGAAGGTCAACCAGAACTACCAGTGATATGTCCACTTCTTTATATACATCTCTGATGAGATAAAAACTGGAAAACTGCATCCAGGCAGCCAGTCCTGGTCTTAAGGGGGACTCATACATTCTAGAAAGGGTTCAAAGGAAGGCAACAGGAACGATTCTTGGCATGATTAATTTACCATACAATGAAAGAATAGACAGTGTGAATCTCTTTTCCATGTCATACCGTAAGCAGAAAGGAGATCAAATTTCAAACAATGACTACGGACCTGATCTGTCTTCTCCCGCACCCCCCCCCCATTTCAACCAGGTCAGAATATCACACAGGACATAGCAGGAGAGTTGAAAGGTCAAGGAAGAACCATATCGCTGTGAGCACTGGTTCTCCCACCACGTCATAAACTCTTGGAACCGAGTCCCAGAAGAAGTAGGTATCAGCACCCTGAATTGACTCATTCAAGAAAGGTTGAGACAAACACAGAAACTTATTAGAAAAGGATTAACAAAGGCTTCAAGTTTACTATCCTCAATAGACATATCTGAATCTGCTAAAAGCTCTGAAGAATGAAAAATCTACTTGCATCATACATAAACAAGTTCACCTATGAGTAATACATCAGTGATATGATCAAATAAGTGGTTACTAAAAAAGACAGATACATACCTAGACATACTAATAGTGTACATGTCTTCAATATCAATATCCGCTTCCTTGATACTACCAGCCAGGCTGCTTTGATCCTCTTCAGTCTTGGTTTCAGTAAGAATTTCAGAAGTAGTTGGGAGAGGGATAGCTGCGTCATCATCATCATCCCAAACAGCAGCAGCAGTTGTCCCCGAATCCATATCTAAACAAAAATAATAATAATAATTTAAAAATTGACGAAAAAAAAATACTCAGAATTTGCAACAACAAAAAACATGACCAATGGAACACATGTTACATTTGAAATATTCCTTTTTGAATAAATATTGTAATCATAAATTATATTCATCACATATGATCAGTATCTCAATTATAAGACGTTTACAGAAACCTTACAAGTGTTCAGTTGTAGATAACCACCAGAGAAGATCATTACAAAAAAGATTCATCAATTTATTGAAATATTAATGATAAAACTTTAGCTAAGGCATCAGACACAATATCTGATTACTAAATGCATTTACTTATCACACAGAGAGGAAATTAAGCCTTGTTTATACTTTTCAATAGCTAATACATTGACTCGCTAAGAAAAAAAGCGAAATCACACGTGAAGAGTAGTTGAGCACTACTACATACTACTGATTGATTGACACTAGTAGCTGTATACCAACCATATTAACGAGTAGTACTTGTTAGCCAGATCGAAGCGGCCATTTTCCTCTTTTAAGGCTGAACTCATCAGTGGAGTAAAGTGGGAATTTTGACTTATGGTGTGACCGGTTCACCCGGATAGTTAGCCAGATATATCGGGTGGTTTAGACTGGTTCAGCTTCCTGATCTGAGTCAAACCGGGTACACCACACCACTGATGAACTCGACCTCAAAACGAGAGGAATGGGCCGCCCGGTGTTTAAATCACTTCGATATGGCTTCCAAGCACTACTGGTTGGTGTGAGTGGTATACAACTACTCATCTCAATCAATCAGTAGTATAACGTTTTATGCATAATTTCTTGATATCACATAATATTTGTGATCTGAATAATTTCGGTTTCCAAAGGAAACTGTGGTGAAATCTATCTAATCTAGAACTGTGTAAAGTGTACTTTTGATTTCAGCCCTACTATATTGGAATACCGAAGAATACTTTGTTGAAGAAGCTCAACAAAAGCACGACAACAACTGCATTTGTTTAATTTAATTACAAATTCAGCTAACGAATTGTTTTGTAGAATAAGAAGTGCATCAAACATGAGCACTTCTTCACTTTTATTACGCTTCACATGATTATATACTTATAATTACAAACTATTTATTCTTAAATACTTCAAACATTTGAAGAAAAATAATAATAATAATAAATACCTTCCATTTGCTTCTCTTCTAATTCTACTCTTGGCGCTGGATCACCGACGCTAGTAGGAATGAAAACACCAGGAGGTGGTAGGTTTTGTGCAGCTGTAGGTGCACCAGAAAATCCAGTAGTTGCAGGACGTTCAGCCTAAACAAGTTAAGAAAGACAAGAAAAAAAAAGGAATGCCAGAGGCTTTAGTGAATGCACAGCACACATAGTGAAACAAGTGGAAATTGTGTTAAACATCTGATGATATACTTCAGAGCCATAAAAAATTAAATATACTAGAAAAAAAGGTTGACTTACAAGTAAAAACTATGATTTTAATTAATTGCCAAGATGACCTGAAGTGTATAGTCTAGACCAAAACCAAAAGGATTGAAATCAAGACCATTTGATTAGTACACAGGAGTACACATAAATGTACCAATCAAAATTAGACAAATCACCAATGGGAATTCAGAATGAAACGAATCTTAGGCAAAATGCGTACATTTGAATGTCACAAATTTTTAGCAATATGATATAAATATTACATTCGTTAACTTAAAATTATGCAAAATTATCTGAGCCAGCAAAATATAGAGAAAAGAAATAGGCACCAAGCAACTTGATTATGGCACGATAGAGGTAGTAGCAACTGTCAAATACTTAACTACTTGTTAAATTTTAATCTCAGTAGGGAAATCCGCTGACGATTACTAAATAAATCTGTTAACACAGTTTAGAAAATTTCTGAAGCTAAAAAAACATTAATTGACCTGTGCTTTTTTTACATAAAAACACTACAAACCAAGGAAGACCATTGTATCAAGTATCTTTCAAATGCTTTAGATGAAAATCAATGGACAATCACCTTTTAAATTAGAAAGTTCTCCTTTCAATAACTGACGCCAACACTTAATTTAACAGTATGAAACAACCAGATGAGTCTATTGATTGCATTGCCTTCTTAGAAAAATGTAACAGCTCCTACGATCTAGTATTTTGATAACATTAATGTACATTAATGCACTGTTATTTGATGATATAAAAGTCACCATCTACTTAAATCTTAGAAAGAATGTGCAGAATGAACATTAATCCCACTAACGGATGACAGTGCATCGATGGCTTGGCAGCGGTAGAATGCTCGCGAACTATGCACGTGGTTTGAGGTCCAATTCCCGGCCGGCCTTCACCTTTACCTTCCCTACCCGGTGGTAAGTTCAATGAAGAGGAAACGTTGGGCGTGAGGCTAATGACCCCACCCTTTAAAAAAGTATCACTACTCTACAGAAACTTTAAAGCTGAAGCTTGAAACCTTATGTTCCTCTCGGAACGCATGGGAATAAAAAATAATGGATGAGCAAGTAGAAAGCCTAAAGAAAACACAGTCATGTATACATCAGATAGGTTTCAAGAATGCCAACCCACCCACACCGTTTCTAGTTAATTATTCCAAGTTGACTAAATCGAAAATAGAGAAAATTACATGAAGCCAAGTCGCATATGAGCGCACATTCATAAAGTTAACAGCTTTGCATAGAAAGCATGTGTAATGTCAACACTACCTGTTAAAAATACTCCTATTCAATATATTAATAACAGAAACGTTGCATGTTTGTTCTCGTGTCGTTATGCCCCATCTCCAGACGTTTTTGTCAACGTTATTCAGTTTAAATATACTTAGAAATCAAATAGTTACGTATTTTTAAAACAACTCACTACTGTGCAAGATTCTAAAATTATTTAACTGGTTCATTTTGACAGTAAAACAATTTGTCAATAACACATACATGGGATAAAGACGCGCTGAACTGTCAATAAAGCTTAATACTCGTAACAGTTTACACATTGATGAAAGGCTTGACAAACGCACAAGACAGGTACACACACTTCTGAATTGTTTGATCTTTGAAAAATCCACTTTTGTGATGCATCGTTGGCATGGTCATCAGCCTAGTCTTCTGAAAGTCTAGTACGGATACACATATATCTTACGAATAAATATGTGCATGAATAAGACTTCGAGATTTTAGCTCATTTGAAGTCGAGAATAGTCAACACACTTCCTGGATGTAGTGAGAATTGTAGACTGAACTGTCATCCAAACGGCTTAAAGAGAAATAAATTCTAATGACATGTTAGTCATTATTTTCAGTACAATCACTAGATGTTGATAAACCTATTAATCAATAATTACTATGAAGACAAAAGAAATATCGAAAATCATCAGCCCATCGTCAAAAGAGACCCCCCCCCCAATCTTAATGATGCTGGTAATCAACCTAAAATTACGAGGTAACATTGACTGAGGATTTCATAACCCATCATACTTCTCAGGTAGATTTAAAACTTTCTAGAAAATATATTAAAACATAAATCAGTGTAATACACTGAAAAGAGCTACAATTTAAATATTATAAAACTTTCTCACTTACTCCAAGATGGTTGTTTTGACCCATTTCCTCAGCAGAAATTGTCATAACCTTGGCGGAAATTGATGCAGCTGCAAATGCGACTGCCGAAGTTGACGCAGGATTAGTTGCAGTTGGATTCAAGGTCTTGTTGGCAGTCATCTCAAAAGGAAGTGGGACTCCCTTAGGTGTTATCGCTCGCCCAACACGAAGCTGTTGTCCTGCTAAGTCGAAACAATTCATGCTTGAAACAGCAGCAATAGCAGCTTCTTCCGATTCGAAATCGATGTAGCCAAAACCCCGATGGCGACCAGGAGTTTTTGGATCTGGATACAAGCTGATCGAAGAGCGTAGGCAAGAAGTTGCGGAAAATTAGCGTCACCAGAATTCTTAACCAGATGGCAGATAGCACCTAATGGCCTGACTATTATAAATTAAAACACGCAGTACGAAAAATTGCTGGGGTGAAAAGTTCCTTTCTATTATAGTAAGACGTACACCACAAAGTTTGGGGATAGCTGCTTCTCACCACTTACAGAAATACACGATGAGAGACTGATTATCTTATATTTAGGTCTTCAAACAGCCGGAGACCGGTGAGAACTACTGCTCAATCAATGATCCCACTGAACTACGTAATCATATGCGAAGAGTAACACGTCTCAAGTACATAAATAAGTGGAAATATGAGAACTGTGTAGTACAGACACCAAGCCGCGTAAGTCAGAAAGATACATTCATAATGATTCTTCAACAGTACAGCAATGGAATTAGAATAGTATGAAGTCGGTTAAACCCGGTAATTCAACAACAAGATGCTCTAATGAACATGAGAATGTTAACCGACACCACTAAAAGAATAAGTACCTTAAAGTTGTCATACTTCAGTTTCCTCAAAACTGAAACCTCTGCGAATCATTCATTGAAAATAGTTATTTCACTTGAGTACTTATTTATTTATCAAAACACAAACTTGGTACAAGATATGCTACACACAAAATCGCATAGTTTGTGTGAGGGCTGGGATACTGCCTGGATGCCCAGACCGAAGCAGGTGGTTGTCTTAAGAAGCCAACCCCAGTGACTTTGATTCGAAGTCTGATCTACAAGGCAGGGGAACAGTGTCGGGTGCCACGCCCCACGACCAAAGCAGGTTTATGCGCTAGTCGACCCTTTCGGATTCTGGGGTCCATGTACGCCATAGGTATGGAATCAGGAGTTTTGAAGCTCCCCTAGGTGGACTAGTATGTACACCAGTCCGGTTGTAAGCGCCAGACGTTTGCACTCGCCCATTCACTTCTATAAAAGACAACCCAGCCGCATTAAGACAGTGAATAGGACTTAACTGGTAGCGGCTACGAACACATGGTCACACCAGAGAAGACCGAGGTCTACCCAACCTCGGCTGTACCCGATTGTTTATGGAGGAGCTATCAGCTTTGAATCCACATATATAATCATGGAATATTTTGGTGTCATTTTTTCTCAACTGTTTTCCTATATGGCATTTTCAAAGTTCGCTAATGCGGCTCCACAACCTTATTGAAGGTTGCACTCAGAAAAACTTGATCTTAGGCAGTTGTAAAACTACGAAAATGTGCCATGATAATGCATTCTTACCAGACAAAAAACTGGTTTTTACAAAGTCGTAGGCAGACACACTTAAGTTATTACTTAAAACTACAATACATTATTTAGGTAAATATACTAGATAAATTTAAGACATATTGGTTACATAGTTCACTGTGGTTTACCTGCAACTGTTTACTTTACCAAATGCCTCGAATACTGTTTGAATATCAGACTCAGTTAACTCTGGGTGTACTGAAGCAATATATACCCGAGATCTGGTGCTGGCTTCTGCACGCAGTTCAGCTTCTAGTGCAGCCGTCTGAGGAGCATTGCTTGGTCGACCAACCTGTAATGAGTAGAAAAAAACGATTAATTACTTCAAATAGGAAAACCAACAAAAAAGAGACATTTTTAAACTTAAAGCAGTTATTTCGTACTGTGCCTAATATGCACTTTTCTAAACTTGTAAACCTGCTGATGCCAAACTATGAGTGATTCATTTAACAAATTACAAAGTTTTATGAAAAAACTATCCTGAGACTCAACATGTTTGTTTGAACCTAATCACTTGAACAGACCTTCCATGCACCAGGTTAAGAGCGACAGCACATCGCATGAGGGCTGATGATTATACCCAGATTGATGTATCTGAAGCAGGACTCCAGTCGCTGACCCATTGGTTGAAAGTTATGTTTAAACCAATGATTTACATCTTCATACAATATGCAAACCACATAATTCAATTCCCAGATAAGTGAGACGGTCAATGCAATCAATTGCTTTACACCCTATTATCAGAGAGAGTATTTAAGTTAGCCAGTCATCTAAATTTAAACATCAGATCATATGAGTTTTCGTATGCATCAATTAATTTTATATGTTCCCACTAATTAAGTATCAAAACGTCTGGACTTTTAAGAGGATTTCAATATATCACAACCACGGATAATGGCCAATAAAGCCTATCATCGAGTACAATAACATGGTTCGTAAAAAGAAGCTCAATGTTTTTCTTCAGACAGCATACATACATCATGCTCCTGGATCATTGAAAAATATTTTTTACTAGCTATTATTCGTTTCCTTATTGAATTATGAAACAAGAACAGAATGACAGGAGTTTTAAGTCATCTGGTTCCGAAAAACGCAGAAGAACAGCATACATTTCGTCCCACATATATAACTTATATGGCTTTTCATAGAAGTACAGTATCTGATGTTGACCCATTTCCAAACAGCAGGAGTACAAAAAGAGGAAAGTTATAGACATGATACTTCAGTGGACAAGCATGTCTAAGAGAGAAATATAATGAATGAAGATTAACGAAGATATTCAGAATTTCGAAGATAAAGAGTGAATACATCCACGCCATTATGAACAATTTTAGTCATTTCATCACGATTCTTTAACCACTAACTCTTAGCATACGCAAAACACTCGAGTTATACTTTGTCAGGCTCACATATACAGTTACAAACTTTATTGACCGATAACATACTCTGATGCAACCATTCCTCAATTCTTCTTAATTTAATTCTACTTTTAGAGAAAAACGGTGTTTGCATACCTCAGTTACCTTAATCAATGAAGACCATCAACTGACTGATTCACCTTTCTTACTTAACAATCGACATCCGAGTTTAGTCCAGATATTATGTACTGCTTTGCCTAGCCTAATGTAAATAACACTTAGAAGAAAGTCATAGTTAAGAGTCTGTAGTCTTTTCATATATTTTACTTTCACAGGCTATGCCTAAACCGCAAAGTAGGACGCATTTAGCTGGTGTACGGTACATATATCCTTTCGAGGAGCAAGCGGATGTTGCAAAGCTGAAAATGACGTATCCATCTTTAGATTTTGTCGACAGCCAATCTCTTAGACTTCATATAACTTATTAAATATGTGACCAATATATCTGACCCTTTAAATTGAAACTAAGTTCCTGACTTTTGATCGTGATCCCTTACCACTGGCATCCGTACTTAGTTGGCGAAAAGTGGCACTGTATGATTGGATGCAAAGTGCTATGCGACAGTGGCAAACGAATTAAAAAGTCAACAGAATTCACCACTTGTGTTCAGATTAGTACCCTTAGCTGCGAACCAACTGTATGTCCAGACCTTGGTAAGTGGAACGGGTGGTTTAAATGATATGTCAACTGCGATTAGTGAATACACCGAGCCACAGGCTGTCCAAACACGTCACATTAAACAACGTGAGAATGGGTTTGGAAAGGTCTGAGGATTTGCAAACCAAGGTGTTTCAAACCAGTTTATCCACAGATTTCTGTGATACCACCTAGTCGATCAGGCTGAAATAGATGACGTGGAGTTCCAACTAGGGACCCACTAGCTGAGTCAAGTGTTAAAACCAGTGAGCCACATAGTCAAATGTTTATTGGAATGCAATTTTATTTCCATTAACTGACAAGTTTTTGTTGCTACTGGGCTCAAGTGAGAAATTTTTAGTCCATACCACTACGAAGTAGCATGTTTAGGTTGAAAATAATTATCAGCAACATTAATGTCCCTAATTCTCTTTTGATAAAAGGGAATCAACTACCCAACCAGTAAAGCTGAAGGCAATATTAGTGGAGCATGTAAATTCGCGATCGAATAACATGGTGTCATTAAATATGGATCAAAGTCGAATTTATTAGAGTTTATATTGAACTTTCCTATTCTACTTCGGAACATTAATACAAAGGTTATGAAACCTACTTGAATGTTCTGTATGTGACTGTTATTTTCTCCCGACCATCCTACTATTCTTCATTTTTCCCTTTTATCTTCATAATATTGTTACATTAATTTGAGTGACCCACTTTTCTTTGCACCGAATTAGCACTAAAATAAATAACAAGTAATTTTTACACGAAAGAGCCGGAGTTCTGCCTCATAGCTTCATCATGCATCAACTGATTCTAGTTAATTATTACTTAGATAAATCTTATCAGATTTAATGTGTAACTGTACCTCCCTATCGTTCAAGTCAACAGACAACTTATAAGTATTTAAAACATTCCCTACTAAACCATAAGCTACTTTCAGGTTTGCAGTCTTATGATGGGAATCAACAGTAATAGGATAATAGTTACTATTGAATTTAGCTTAGTAAACTGTAACATTCTGTTATGACTTCCACATACCATGAAAATGTACGACTCCGACGTAGAGTGAAGCACTATAAGAGTCAAAAGGAATACCACGAAATCCGAAGTCTTGTGCAGTGGTAAACCACTGACTGGTGACTGCAACAGTCTTTTGTCTGTTTCACGAGTGGTCCCGGTGCTATTCTACGTCAAGAACAGATGATTTGGACAGCAAACAAACAACGGTTGTCTCAAAGACTGAGAGCCAAATGAGACAGTGATTTTTTTGTTACTAAACCAGTTTCACATTGTAACCTATGATCAATAAGATTTCATTGTCTACGTTACGGGAAAAAAATCACTTCAAAAGAGAAACATGAAGGGTGACCAAAATTTTAATGATACTTCAGTGGGGTCTCTCTGTTTGGCTTAGTCTCCTTTATTTGCTTATTGGGGTTACGCAATAGTTGGGGAATTTCAATAATGTGGGATTTAGGAAAGCACTGTAACTTCTGTAGGTATTTGCTGGTTAGATTTTGTGATTAACGCCTATCATTTGTTTAGTTTTCAGAAAAACTTATTACAAAGGTTACTTCAAATCAGTGAGTATAACTCTTCCGACACAGCAGCTGTGAGCTTTACAGCTTGTGTGGGAAAGGCAATCAAATTCAACTTATGAGTTCCCATCGCGGTTTCATTTACGAATGAGAATTTTAGAATTAAAACTTATCATAGACTAGGGAGAAAGACAGGCGTTCAAACTTTGCAGAGAAAGTTGGGAAATAATAAAACAGAACAGGGAGAGTAAATAGGTGTGCGTAGTGATTGAACCACTGCATATGTAAAGCAGATAGGTACATCAACACTCAGTGTATAAGTGTCTAAACACAAATAAAGAAAAATGGGGAGAGAAGAGCGGGGAAGATGAGTAATTAAGAAAGCAATAAAGTATAACCATTACAGTGACAAAATCAATAATTAGTTTATATTGCATCTGACAGCTACTCTAACCAAATCTACATAAAGAACGAAGGGACCGAGAACCATATTTTACAATGGAGTGCCAAGCATAACCTTAGTGGTATTATTGATGACGTAACAATATATTTATCATAGAAATCTACCATACTGGTACACGAGAAGGGATCCAAGCATCAGCACAAAATTAGTGCATTTCTATCAACTCCCACAGACTGTCGTTCGCAATAAGCTTTCCAGAGGTACAAAGTAAAAGAAATTAAACCTAAATAACATGTCAATGTGTCGTTCTCTGTGCTTGGCAAAAGTCTATGCAGATAATTCAAACTCATAGTAGTACAGAAATCCACCCACATACCCCTTAATAGTAAAACGAAATGGGACTAGGATATACAGTGGTATTTTAAGCTCCGGCCCATGAGCTACACTTGATTTATTGAGGTTTATAGTGTTACCTGTGAATCGAGGACGAATCAGAAATATAAATCCGGAGCTACCAGAACCACAATTCTAAGAACACAGAAGTGAGACTCCAACCGCCATCCAATAGTGTTTACTGTGATGTGAGCAGTTCCCCTATTAACTAATCTCACCACTTACATAAATCCATTTCCATGTATCCATACCCCTCTTGTCACTTGCTGGTTTCCTTGGCTGGAGACAATTGATAATATGGCCCAAAATCCTCGTTCTCAATGGCGCAGATGCAGCCAATGCTTGTGACTTATAATACCCAATGAAACTATACTGTTCTTCGATATTAGTATTCTTTTTGCCTCATATCTCTGTTTATTGTGCATTTACTTTTACTTTCTTCTCTTGCTTTGTGTGCTACATGGAGTGTGGCGACTAAAACTGATGCACATCGTTGCATCGTTCTATGCTGAAACAAGTTATATATATATATATATATATATATATATATATACAACACTTCTAAGACATCCATATCACAAAAACTCAATTGTTTGGCTCCACCCGAGCAAAGTATTTATGATCCGTGTCCGACTAGCTCAGTCGGTAGAGCATGAGAATTCTAGTCTGTCTACGTAGTTTCACACTTGACTACAGAACACGTTTACTGCAAATTCGTCGAGTAACCAATGTACTGTTGAATGACATAGCAAGAGTTCAAAAAGCGGTCACACAGAAAAGACCTAAATGATCAGTTTAATAAGTGATAGCTAGCAACAACTGCGTAGTTATCAGTGCCCAATGCCAAATATATCTCACAAATTCTGGGCTAACTGCCCCTCTCCCATCGATCACCCGCCACTCAACACCTCCCTGAATGGGATATAAACACAGGTCCCTCCTTCCCTGAAGTTAAAAAAGCTGTCACTAATTTGAGACAAGGCAAAGCAGCAGGACCTGATGGAATGACTCCAGAAGTGTTTAAGGACGGTGGAGACAGTTTACTTTGTAGGTTAATTAAGGTACTAGACAGTGTCTGGGAATCAGAGGAAGTCCCATCGGGCTGGTTTAAGTCGTTGATAATCCCGATATACAAGGGAGACAATTCTTCCTGGGATAATCACAGGGGGATTAGTTTGACTAATACGATATCTAAAGTTTTAGGCTCAATAATTAGGAGTAAACTAAGCGGTGCTCAGAAGGAACAAACACGAGAGAACCAGGCAGGCTTTAGGCCAGGAAGAGGGTGCATTGACCACATATTCACCCTTCGACAGATTCTGGAACATGGGTGCACTTACCGGTGTTCAACTATCGCCATATTTCTTCAGCTGAGAGCGGCATTCAAATCTGTCGACCGAGAGGTACTATGGCGATGCGTGGCTGTAAAGAGAATGCCCAGAAAATACATCACACTGATCAAGGCACTCTACTCGAAATCATGCAGCCAGGTAAGAGGCCTACGGAGAGTTGCCATTTGAAGCGGTAACAACCAGTGGTGTCCATCAGGGATGCCTGCTGTCGTCACTTCTATTTAATTTCATCATAGATGTACTAATCGACTGACTCAACCCTAACTGACTCCAGCGACTCAGGAATTGACTTGTCACCACGGTGTAATCTCGTCGACTTAGACTTAGAATATGCAGATGATATTATCCTCCTGGGTGAAGACGCTGACAAAATGCATTCTTCTGAGCACCTTGAGCAGCAATCTTCGAGTGTTTGGCATGCGACTCGCTCCCGTCAAATGTGGGATGGTACTAAAGGACTGGACTACATTGACTCCTAGTTTAGAAATAGGGAGTGAAGTGGTAGAGCACGTTGACCACTTCACTTATATGGGAAGTTGCATCAGCCAACGCCAGTGGGTTGATCACTGACGAAATCTCAGTACGGATACAGAGGGCTAGTTTCGCATATGCCAGTTTACGCCATCTCTGGCGTAGACGTGATATCCGGCCGGCTGATGAGCGAAGGGCGGGTGTACTGCTCAGCAGTCCACTCCGTCCTCCCTTATGGTTGTGAGACCTGGCTGTTGAGAGTGGAAGACATGAAAAGGCCGGCTAGCTGTCTTTGATCATAGTTGCCTGCGTTCTATCTCCTGTGTGAAGTAGTATAATATGGTGATCAATATTGAGGTTAGGCATCGGTTGAGTGCTAGGTAAGGAGTGGAAATCAATCGATGAGGCTGTGAAGCTACATCAACTGAGATGGTTAGTACATGTGTTACGCATGCCTACCCATCGCCTTCCTCGACGGGCAATGTTAACTGACATAGGGTTAGGTTGGGAAAGAGCTAGCGACGGTTAAACCAAAATATGGCACCAGTCAATGAAATCCACAACAGTTAGTTTAGGCCAGCCAACCACCTGCGTAGGGAGGTGTTGACTGGCTTCCTGGTCGGTGTCCTCGGGATGGTTAGAAACAATGGCTGGAGACAGTTGGTGATGTGTCTCAAAGTGATTGTTCTCAATGAGTAACACAGATGCATTCACTCTTTGTGATTTGTCATGTCCAGTAAAACTATTGTTCTTCCATATTAGTATTCCTCTTCCGTCACATTTCTGCTTACTTTCTCTCTCTTTTGAATCTTACCTTACTCTCTTCTCTTGGTTAGTGTCTTACATTGAGAGTGGCAGCTTGAACTGCTGTGCATCTGTGTAAAGTTCTAGGTTGAAATCAACCAGTTAGCCCTATCCACCACCACAAAAATTGCAGGCCATCCGGTTGCGTCCTTTATCGAAATTTCCGAAAAGGTACAGCTTAAATACAGGCAAGTCACTTTGTAAATCCTACGCAAATTTAGCTGATGACGGGAAATCCTTCTACAAAGCGATAAAGCCGTGTTGATCTAAACATAACATTTGTTAAACCACCTACCGACTCATCGTTCAATGGTGAAACCTGGGACAAAACTGAATGGATTGAACGCATTACTTGAAGAGTGTACCAATGCACCCAAAGGATTTTTATCAGAGCTATCCAACTTCCACACTAAACAAATCTTTCCCAATGCACAGTGAACAGGAATTAAACAAACATGCTGTCCTTATAGTAAGAATTGGCCGTATTGTTTGCATAATTAGTACTGCAACTCGCCTCATCGTGAGATGTCCTGCTGACTACTACTGGACTTCTAAAACTACCCACAAATCACTGGTTGGAAGTATTTACGTCTCAATTTGTCTACTCTAACATGGTAAATATTAATCCAAACAATGTTGTTTTTAAATGCGAGCATTTTGAATATTGCATTCACACAAAAATCAATGAAAACAGAGGGAATCTGAACCTAACCTATCAAAGTATGCATATTTTTCCTGAACAGAATCGTTTAGTGGTAACAGCCTAATCTATGCTACGGGAACTGGACAAGACACCTATGTTGAGTGGACAAACCTTGGTTAGCACTACAGAGCCATAACCAACAAATACATTGGAGTACAGAAATAAAAGCTGCTAACCAACTTTATTACTTACCTAATTTTTAATTGGGCAACTAGCTAGTCAACAGTCACACTTGCTACTTTGCAATTTAACAGAGGGTACAAGTTGGGAAGACATGAATTGTGAACAATATGAAAGGTTCAAGAGAAAACTTGCATCACATATGTTAAAGACACAAAACGTTCTAAAATATGCAATGACTGGAAACCTGAAAACGCCAATTTACTAGACATCAAAAAGACGCAAAAGTATCGAGAAATTAACTCTAGAGGGCTCAATGGGGTTATCTTGGGGATAAGCGTTTGCGAGTGAAATGACCAGACCACGTATCCACGTGACTGAAATCAGTCAACTCTATAAACATCTAACAGCCTTAACAAACGATAGAGAAACATGACTTGATAAGCCACACATTTCAAACTGTCAAGTCATACAGGCATAAACAAGTGGAAATAAATAAATGCACATACCTTCAAGTTTCTGCCAGCTAATGTATAGCCATTCATCTGCTCCAGTGCTAATGATGCAGCTTCTGGAACCTCAAACTCTACAAACGCGAATCCCTTATGCTTTTGGAGAACTGCATCCCAACTCAAAGCAACAGACTTGACTGGTCCAAAGGGAGAAAATGTTTTCCGGATTTCCTCCTCACCGATCTCAAAACTAATTGACCCAACATATATACGGCTCAACAGAATGAGAGCTTGGTTTCGCTTGATTGTATTCAAGTCCTAAGAAATAAGAAATACAAAGCAACCAACTACCTGTTGATGCAACTGTGCTGCCTGTTTGCTAAGTGCATTTTGAATACTTTGTTCTAAAGCATACTTCTTAGCCCGCTCAATAGCAAAACGTTGGTCATCATTGAGGGTCACCAATGTAAAAGGCTCTTGTTTAGGGTTGTTACCGAAAAGGATACATTCTCCTATTGGAATAGGATTGATTAAAGCTCCTGCTTTGCGCAAGGCTGCAGCTACATTTAAGTCCACACTTATCATCACTAATGTTGGGAATACAATTTGCCCGCATTTAAGGACAGATTGTGCGAGGTCTATTGCAGCATAATCCTTTCAAACGGTTCAATATTCAAAGTGTAGCATGACTGATAAATTATTGAAACCACACTTATGATAAGCTTATTGATCTTTAAAATTGAAGCGGTCAGACTTTCAAGTTTTTGTTTGATCGAAGCACAAACTCTCTACAACTAATGATCCTATGAATGCAGATTTTTGTTAACTGCGAGTCGTTATATGTTAAGCCATTGTGTTCTTGGTATTTGGGTGCAGGTAAACTCACTTTTGAAGGTTAGATCCATGTTTATCTGATAAATTTTCTCAGCTGGAACAATAATATTACAGTCCTTCAACAGTCTGTTATCAATATTATTCTATTCGTAGCCGTTTGATTTTGTCTTGTGTGTAAGACTGTATGTCTATTTCTTCAGACAAGTGTCACTTCTATGACAGACTGGAAACTGAAGCAGAAAAGGCGGCAAAAAGGAGACGTTCAAACATTATACAAGATAACTAGGTGTCTATCTGGGAGAAATCAATGCCAATGAAACCAATAAAAGGTGGTTAAGGGAACCTAATTATCAGAGAGGAGGAACAAAGAAAATAGTGGCATGGTCACTTCGAAGGACTCTTGGGCCGACCAATACCTTCAGCTTGTTCAGAAACACCACTTACAGTGCTCACAGAAATGTTAGTAAACACCATTCCTCCAACAAAAGTAGAAGCAGTGAATGAAACCGGACTACCGAAATCCAATCAGGAAAGCAGCAGGATAGGATAGAATTCATCCTGCAGAAAATGTGACAAATCCAGAGACCACGGTAGATATGCTGACGCCACTACTGTAGAAAGTCCTGAGGGAGTAAAAAGTACCTACCGATTGGAAGAAAAGCTGCCTTGCCAAGCTACCAAAGAAGGGTGACTTACACCTCTTCAAGGGCTGGCGTGGAATAATTCTCTAGTCCACACCAAGCAATTTCTATGTCACATCATTCCGGAGAGAATAAAAGATGCACCGGATACAGAACTCCGTCCATTACAAGCTAGACTCATTGAAGATAAATCCTTTGCTGATCAAATCGCAGCTTCAAGCATCATCAGTTGAGCATCCGAGGGTTGCATAGAAATCGTATGAAGGGGAAGAAAGCTTGCTGGCAATCTTATGACCAGTCAAAGAAGGCTTTAGAGAACAGGATCAAATGGGGCGTGTTATGGAATTTTTGTGTTCCAAAAGAACCCAAGGGAATAATAGTAAATAAACTACTGTTTTTAAATATTCTAGTAGTGTGAACAGTATTGCAATCCAATTTTTAATTCTTCTTCTGTGCACGTACATATAAAATAATTATATATAATTGCAGCCGTGAAGGTAATTGAGTGAACTCACCGGACTGCTTGCTCTTATTTCCACGTCTGGTTGGATAGTTTTCTAGAAATGACGTTACTCCCCGAAATCGTTTTACTAGTGAGCCTAATAAGTGAGGCATTTGAATCACCTGGACACCCACATGTTCCATTGGCACACTTGAAGTTATTCATAAGGTTTTTAGCTTACTAACCTTACGTCAAAGATATGAAGTCTATAAAAGACTTCTAGTACTTACTTGAGGCAGTCTGAGATTTCAAAGCTGCAGGCCATTTAGGAGTTGTCGAAAAACTCAAGAATCTTAGTCTTTCGAGGCCTATTCAAAATGTCAGCGCTCTATTTCCCAATGGAGCTAATGCGGGATTTGTAAATATGTGGCGTTAACTCACCCGCTGTGAAATGACGCCTTTATGATAACCATCAGAAACAATTAATGTTACTCTCCTCCTCTTTGAGTAGGACTGTAAGGGATCAAAGAAGTTATCCATTCAAATAGACCTTAGCCACTTCGCTTTCAAAGATCGGTTTGTTTATCTGTGCCAAGTGGATGAGATTGTGAACAAATGGGTTTTCGAGAAACAAGAGCGTCATTGTGTGTCGTGGTATGACTGTGTGTTTCCGTATTACTTTCGTGCTATCTGTGATAAAGGCATCCTTGGACACCCGTAAGTGTTATATGCATCCTTCTCTGGTTGGCCACGAGTTTAGGCCATCCGGGCCAAAGAGTCAACAGGTGGTGTGGCAAAGGCTCTGGTATTACAGCAGCCGCGGGCATTGCTTCTAGTTGAGGCCAATCAGAAACGGGCTTGAAACCGTTCAAGCAGCCTAATTGTTTTCCCGGAGGTTGTCAAGCATATAACAAATATGAAGCAAGTCACATAGTTCCACACTAAAAACCAGGGAAAACGTGAATGCTTACCACTATGACCCCTCGGCAGAGTCTCCATCACGTCCAAAACCATGGACAGGGCAACATATGAATGAAAGTCTGATTACTTCACAAATTTTGAACATGGCTTCTCAAAATATATGTTCGGCATCACCTGTGACAGGCTAGTTTGGCCTACTTGTAGTTGTCCTAAATTATACATATTATTCATCTTCATGTACCTTTGTGACGACAGAAGACAAGGGCCAGGTAACAGACCGTTTATTGAGAAAATCAACAGATATTTATACACTTTTGCGTACATTACTTTTCGTTATTCTTGGCGGAGGTAACGTCTTCTGATTGGTTGTTTTTCTGCTGGAGGTTATTCTGTCACCTCTTTGTCGCAGTTTCTTAGACACTCTGCTAAGTCTGCTGTGATTGGTTGTTGAGTTAGGCTTTGTTCTTGTTTTTTTCTCATGACCACGATTTGGGAAATAAACATTGACGTAAATTACTGTGTACCGATTTTGGCTGGCAGACAGCTCCCACCACACTTTGACAAGTTAAGAGCATTTCAAATCGGTTCTCGCGGCATACTCACTGAAAGCTGCCATGTAGGTGTTCGCGAGTCAGAGGTTATTCCGAAGAAATCGTAAGTGTGTTATCACTTATGGACAAATAAAACATTTTGACTTGCCTAAAAGTAATAATAATTTATATCTAGTATAAACGGATAAGTAGATGCACTAAACCTAATGTAGCCTTCCTGAAACTTCTTTATTCAGTGCATGATAGCAGCAGTATTTGTAATCATTCCACCTTATGTGGAGATTTTCCGGCAATTCAGTTGTTCGCTTTTGTAGCAAGAAAGTTACACGATAAAAGCTATTCGACATGAGTTTTACGAGGTTGTGTTACCAAATACTAGGTACCTGCTCCGAATCACCACCAAAACTGGGGATTTATTTACCTTTAGTGACAACAGACATGGCATGCTGTTTCCAGTATACAAGGGAAAACCATCTGAACACAATTCTGTCGTAAACTTTGGTATGAGATATTCCTGTGATTTAACTTCATCTCGGAAAAAGACAAAAAAATCTAAAACGCCTACACCTCTGTGACATATCACTCAGGACATGGGCTTTCTCGAAGGGAGAGACACGTCATGCAAAGTTTGTACTCACGGGCCTTTAGAATATTTTCAGTTGACCGAAATCAGCTACGAATGGCTGACCAACTTAAGGCTCAAAGGAGACAAGGATGTTTTGATTCATAAAAATTAGTCTGGGGATTCAATCTTGAGTTCATACACCTACGTACAACTTGGGCTGAAGTGTCTCTGTGAAATATGGTCCGGGAAAACTATGTTTAATCACAGAACTTTTGGAATCTCATGGCTCACAGATGAAGTTTGATTCGATATAGGAGTGAAATCTAAAAGAAATAATCGAAACGTTGTAACGTGTCAATTTTTCAGAGTACTGGTATATACAGAAACCTATTTAAAGTCTCCTGTGCTCAGACTCCCCGTTTTGTGAGTGTTGAGCAATCTCAAATCAAAGGGTACAAGCAGATACCTCAGATTACTTATTAGTAGAAAAGACTAACTGAAAAGTAGGCAGACAAGCCGCCTAATGAATCTCAAGGATCTACAAGTAGCGAGGATGGCACATGTTGATCAGACGATAGAGTGGCGATCACATATTTGAATCCCTTCATTCTGTAGGACCGCAATATACATTTCGATCGCTTGAGATTGAAACATGAGCTTAGATTCTTATCTTAAGAAACAAAAATGATTGTTCGAATATAAATTATAAAGAAGGATTCTGGCCCTAATACCCGTCATTTCGCTCAGTTTCTTGTCAAGATGTGAGTTCATAGGCCCTACAAAGATTCGTCACAAATCGTAGGAGCCTGCATGACCTGTATTTTCGGATCTTTGAAGCCATCTCTGACTAAACTGTCTCTTACATATTTCACAGTAGTTCATACCTCACCAACACTGTATTCGGATACATCTTGACTAACCAATGTCTTTGTGAAGCTAACACTTTGTTTTTTCATTCGTATCCATTGCTTTCTTCAGGTTTGATTGTGCTGGAGAAATAAGAAAACAAGAAAACAAACCAGCGCTATCTTTGAAGAAAGCTACTTTCGTCGAAAACATCAAAGTCTCGATAGTTAAACCAATTTTGGTTTTACACTGCCAATGAACCTTATCATTCTAAGGAATATACAGCTCCTTCCTGTTTACATCCTGTAAATGTACATTTAATAATAATATTATCTTTATTCCAATGTACCATTTCTCATAACATTCAGTTCTCTCCAAAGTAGCTTTCAATCGCACAAGAAATAGCACTTACCTAAATACCGATTGTTTATCGGTTGACTAAAACTACCTGCGGAAAAGGAAACGAAGTCTGGGTTTCTTCTCACATTTGATGACGGCTCTACAATTTTACATTTATGTGGGCCTGATCTGATTGCTTGTATTATAATTCAGCCATTTAAACTACCGAATCAATACTACTCTATTAATATTTATTTAATTTATACATTTTTGCCCATACCTGTAGAAATGACATGGATTTCATGCAGAATTACCTCCTTATACGAAATAATAATTACTCCACTGCGTAAGTGCTCAAATACAAAGTCTCAACTGACTGCAACAGAACATACTCAATTGGTAAAATTGACTTCAACACTAGTCTTGCACACGAGTAAGGCATTTAAAGAATAACGTGGTTCGGCTGGGGTAAAGAGCACAATGAGTTGTCAGTGTCTTGGGACTGGAACTATGCTGGAGCTTACGTAAAGGGCTCAGAGTTTTGCATAAAGACAAACTGAATACGTCCTACATCAAAAAAGGTGACCACGGGAGTATCGCAACGGGGGGTTCTAGGATTGTTGCTATTACTAATCTCCGTAAGTGGCCCCCATAACAACTCAGGCTGTCAATCTCTTCTATGAGCAAATGATGTAAAGCCATTTTGGTGTGGTGGTGTTCTCTGAGCTGGATGGTTTGGTTGCGAAGCTTTCATTGCTCTACTGAGCAACATCTTCAGCGCATACTTCGATGTGAAGTGAGCTTTTAGAATTCTCTATGAGTTTATTAGTCATCTCTTCTAGTAACCTTGAACGTGATTGGTTGTTTTCGTGTGACATTTCATCCCCTAGTTTGCTTGTCTCGGTGCTGGCTGCTTCTTTAGCAACCAAACCATCCAGCTCAGAGAACACAACCACACCAAAATCATCCACCTGAGCTACAAATCTTCTCTATTATATCTAGATGTAAAGCCATGGAGAGTCAGGACAAATATCAAGTATTCGACTAGGCTGCAGAAAGATCTAATTAAACTGCAGAATCTGATATGAACAATTCATTAGCTTCAAGCATTATTAAGTGTTGAACGATATTCATCGGCATGTCAGGACAAAAGCTGGCACACATTTTCTGTGTAAGCAACCCCTCTCACATTTGAAGTGCAATCTAGGGCTGTTCGTGACAGATGGATTCCACACTTGTGCTTACTGTGCAAGAGATGCATCCAAAGACGCTAAAGCAATACATATTGCGTAAACAGTTAGGATTACTTACATCCTGACTGTCTTGCACAGTTGTAAAAAACTCACTTGTGGCCAAATCTAGAAGTTAAAAATGTCACTGTATCACAATTGTAGAAAATATAAGCATATCATAGAGTTAAAAGGACGTCCACAAAGACTGTCATCGGAGTGAAATATCGAAAATGCACGGCTGGGTACGATAACTGCATGTGAATGAGCTACTGCCACGGTGTATATCATACATTCTACCTTCTTAAATAGGCTGAGAATTCCATTCTGTATTCTAAGTACTGTTTTCGGAATAAAGTAGATTATTATTAATGTACCTCCTTTAACTGCATTCACCAAAACTGTAGTAGTGGAGGGAGTAATCTGCACAGGAATCCAACTAAGATCTAGAACCATTTCAAAAGACAAGAAATGAGATTCAAGGAAACAATTCACATAGTTATCAAAGGATATTGGATGTTGAACGATTATGACATTTGACCTTGAGGGCTTGGTGACCTTGAGGCTTGGTGACCTTGAGGGAGCTTTTCAGGTTGGTATGCGTGGTCTTTTACTTATTATGACGTATTGTGATTAACCACCTCAGTCTGCTAACTAATAAGTCTTATCGCAGGAGGTTTAGTGAGCTTTATTATTTATTTTTTTCCTTCACGTTCCCAGTGGAACATAGGGCTTCAAGCTAGTGGCCTGAAGTTTCTGTAGCAGTGGTATTTATTTTACAGGATGGGGTTGCTAGCCCCATGCCCAACCTTTCCTCTTTACCAGAATTATTTCTGGCTTAGCGAGGTAAAGGAGTGCGCCGGCCAGGGATCGAACCCCGGACCATGTGCATGGTTGGCGAGCGTCCTAACCGCTACCCCACCGACGCACGTGAGCTTTATTATAGGGGTGTATAAATTTAGATAATAATTACATTGCGATAAATTATCCGGCGTAAATCTCAATGTGATAATGATCATTAGATCGATCTAAAGTTCTAAGAGTTACGTTGCGGATGCATTTCAAGAAGACGAATGAAACCTACGTACCATCGACCGTACTAAGTTGTTTATGGGGAAATAAGAAAAGTTGAAATTGCCTATTCCATATGTACGTGCATCTGGGCGCATCGCAGAATCTTTGAGGCAAGCTTCGGGCGCACTGCAGAGTCGGGTGACTAAACTACACCAGCCCAAAACGAAAATACCTCTAGCGACCAATCAGATGCGTCAGGAGTAGAAAATTTCAGATTCAGATTTATTGGTTGAGGATAGAAGGCTTGGAGCCTATGTCAATCCTTTTCTAGTAAATTTCTGTGGTTGTCTAAACACTTCTTGAACGAATCAGTTGAGGTTGCAGACACCACTTCTTCTGGGAGTCGGTTCCAAGAGTTTATGACTTGGTGTGAGAACCAGTACTCAACAACAATATGATTTCTCCTTGGCTTTTGAACTCTCCTGCCATGTCCTCTAAGGTGTTCCGACCTGGTGGGAAGAAAAAGAGAGAATAGGTCAGGTCCGTAGTCATTATTTAAGATTTTAAACATTGTGATTAAATCTCTCTGCCTACGGTATGACAAGGAGAGAAGATTTAAACTGTCTAGTCTTTCCTCGTATGATAAATTAGTCATTCCGCGAACCATACGTGTTGCCTTCCTTTGAACCCTTTCTAGAATGTGTGAGTCTCCTTTTAGACAAGGGCTGGCGGCCTGGATGCAGTTTTCCAGTCTTGATCTCACCAGAGATGTATATAAGGAGGTGAACATCTCTGGTGATTCTAGTGAAGGCTCTACGAATTGCCCATAATGACCTATAACTACGTGCAGCCACCGCGCGACAGTGTGCTGTAGTTTTTAAGTCGTGGCTAACTATGACACCTAAGTATAAGTGAGTCTGAACTGATGGAAGTGTAATTCCCTCTAGTTCGTAGGAGCTCGTACTTGCTTATCCAATGCGCATGGTTGCACATTTTGCCACATTTATCGGGAGCATCCATTCTATGGACCACTCTGACAATTTGTTGAGGTCCTCTTGCAATGTGGTCGTGTCACTGTTGCCCTTCAGCTCCCTCCAAATTTTTAAGTCATCTGCGTATAGGACCATAGGGGAGTCGGTGAGCAGAGATAACTCATTGATATACAAAATAAGTAGGAGAGGTCCGATTACCGTGCCTTGTGGCACTCCGCTGCGTACTGCTGTCCAAGAGGAGAGTTTCGAGTTGATCCTAACCCTCTGCCTCCTATCTATGAAGAATTTCCTGAGCCAGTATGTGAGTGAAATGGAATAAACATCTCCATATATAAGTAACGCAATGTTAAAAGTGGTTACATAGGATAGTATTATTGTATATGTTCCAAGAAAACCTCCCAATTTCTCACAGGAGTTCTTTTAGGCAGGTTAAACCAGTTTCTGCACATAAATTCGTCAAGGTCATCAATCCGTTTTTTGGGTAGTTTCGTTTTGGGCTGCTATAATTTTGAGTCACCCAGAGTCGTTGGGCAGACTGCAGATCTCTATCTCATGCTCTGCAATGCACCCGAAGATTTCGCCCCAACGATTCTGTCATGCGCCCGAAGAAAAACCAGCTGGGGCTTATTAATCATAAATATAAATTTTATATATCTTAACTAACATTTGTTCAATTGTCCCCTAACAAACACTTGTTTTCCAGTGTAGTGTCACTAAGTGTTCTATGTGTGTAAGATTCCGCGGAAAGTAGCAGCTCCAACTGATGTGCATCTATGTAAAGATCTATATTGATTCTTCAGTCACCGAGTTTTATTTTGTTGCTAAAGTTATTGACCAGAGAACTTATGAGATTTAAAAAGTTATTCGGTGTTTTACTCTTATTTCGGTGGATAAAAACTAATATGTATTGGAAACAAGTCAGTGGTCATTGCTCTTTCGTTTTATTTGCTTTATAGGAATTCAGGAGACTAAAAAGTCACTATCAATTCAAATACACGTTTAAGTCTTAAACACCTCATTAATCCAACTTCGAAACATTGCCCGATTTGCCTTCATTTAGTTGCCTTTGTGGATGAAAGAAAAAGGGCATTGTGAAGAACACAAGGCGGAGTTACTATTCTGTTTACTGCGTAGCTCTTGTTGCACAGAGGTAAGTTGGAATAGGTCTATGGTTTATCTTTTAGAAAAAACTTACTCCACGTCAGTGTTTAGAACCAGAAAACTTTCCTAGCGAGTGCGCACTTGCCAGACGTGCTTTTCACTTGTGTTGCATTGAACCAGTATGTGTACACATTTTGCTTTAATAGTTTTTTTAGGTAGACAAAAAAGCTAGACTACGTGGTTTCAGATACAGCTCAGTGAATTAAAACGTTTGGATGTCAACAGCTTGTCTACAACTAGTATACTACTACATTTGCATAAATGGCTACTGCGTTTGTTACTGTTGGCACAACTTCATTCGATAAATTGATTAATGAAGTTAATAAGACCAAATTTTATGAAGGTCTTACGCGATTGGGTTATAAGAATTTGATTATACAGTATGGAAATGGTTCCATTATACCTCATACTTCTGAAGAAGGTACTGTCGAAAACTTACACATTGAAGCTTTTCGATACAAGGATTCTCTCAAGGCCGAATTTGCCAATGCTTCTCTGGTTATTAGTCATGGAGGTGCTGGTGCTTGTTTACAAGCCCTTACTCCACTTGGAAGTCGTCGACTAATCATAGTTATAAATGATTCGTTAATGGGTAATCATCAAGAAGAACTTGCGCTTAATCTATTGCGAGGGAAGCATGCCTTAGTTTGTACTCCTTCGTCACTTAATCAACTGATTTGGACAGGAGTCGAGTCTATTTATCCTTCTGAATTAACGTGTGACAGAGTAAGTCCACTTGTAACGGCATTTTAATTCTTTAGTTTATTGAAAATCCCTGTTTAAAAGCTTAGGGGATAGCAAACTAAGCAAAGAAATATTTACTTTTGAACTAAATTCTTTACAGTAGATTTCTTTAAATAAATGTAGCATTTTTGGTAGAATCTGTAATTTACCAATCTGGTGATGGTAAGTTTGTCAGCATCAGTATGTCAAATAGGTGGTAATTAACCCAGGAAAATTAGTGCAACAATTAAGGGGTATAAATATTTACAACCAGACCTATTTCACGTCCTATGAATAGTGATTAACTACTTAACTTCACCTCCTTCATGTGCACCTACCAGTTTGACTGCTTCTGACGAACAAGTTATATAAGAACTACTATTAGGTATGTTGATTGTCAAATTTCTTGACGTTTTCCTGCGTAGTTAAACAACAGCCAAATAAAATTGATGCATAAATTTGTTTTAACACAAGCTATGGACACTAATCACAGAATTGTTACTAAGTTAGCATTTACGGTTATCTGTCACCTTACCATCAATCTTAATCTCGCTTTATGAGTTTGTCTTATACGCGCAGCAAAATCCATCAGAATCCACCTGATGAATACAAACCTGTGCGTTCAGAAGAAATTTGTACAGCTACTTTCATCATTATATTAATGTATGAAAATTTAAGATCTCCCCCTCCTACTTATTTCTGTTTAATTTTTCTTGTTTAGTCAGTCTTAATAATATGGTCACTCATTTATTCTTCTTTATATTTGAACATAAATTATGCATGATGTAAGTATTTGTTATACTCCTAGCGAAACATTTCGCTGAACTTATTGTCTCTTAAACTTTGAACTTTAATATATTTTCGATTAAGATATTTTTAAAACGGAAGGAGAACAAAAAGAACAGGACAGATTGAATTCATTTCATTCCATATACTCCAAATCTTCCGTATACACATCAAGCTCGAAAGTTTTGTACATCTTGCTAGTTTAAGATGCCATTAACAGATGCAAGTAATTTGATATAGTCCAGTGGTAAAGGAATCCTGAAATAATCCTTCTCAAACCTATACATTAGTATACAGGAGAAATGAAATAACAAAGTGTATGGTAAGGAAAAAGTACAAGTTGTGTTTGAACTGATGATTTGACGTTTGTCTTCAATGTGTGTCCACCAGTAGCAGTTATTATCTACTCAAACACAATTTTCCATGTGATAAACAGGTAGAGTTATTGTAGATAGTTGAGTTATACAGAAACAACTGTAATTCGTCGTTTAGGACCTGACTTATGCATACAGAGTGATTTCGTGGTTCATTTGGCAGTCTTGTTAATTTGAAAATTCTTTACAGCTTTGTATGCTATCCTATTATTTCTTCTATCCTCTTATCATAACATTATTCATATTGCAATGATTTTACATTACTGATTACATTTGCTATATTGCAATCTTGGTTCTTAGTGTATCCTTTTTAGTCTTTATCCATTATTTCACCCTCTTGTTATACTATATCTTTAATATCTTACTTAGCTGCTCTCTCATCTCAAATTCTCCATCATCTTGAACTGTAGTCATGCCTTATCATTATTATTTTGAAGATTCGATTTGTAGGGATTTAATTGGTTTCAAGATTGATCACGAACTGATTTCAGTTAGAAAACCACTAAAAACCAGAAAGTGCTGCATTCGATTCCGCCGACTAAAAGGTATTATGGCGATTTTTGCTCGTGAAGGGAATTCCGAGAAAATACATCACACTGATCAAGGCACTCTACTCGAACTCATGCAGCCAGGTAAGAGGCCTACGGAGAGTTGTCATCTGAAGTGGTAACAACCAGTGGTGTCCATCAGGGATGCCTGCTGTCGCCACTTCTATTTAATTTCATCATAGATGTACTAATTGACTCAACCCTAACTGACTCCAGCGACTCAGGAATTGACTTGTCACCACGGTATAATCTCGTCGACTTAGACTTAGAATATGCAGATGATATTATCCTCCTGGGTGAATACGCTGACAAAATGTATTCTTCTGAGCAGCAATCTTCGAATGTTTGGCATGCAATCCGCTCCCGTCAAATGTAAGATGATACTAAAGGAGTGGATTACACTGACTCCTAGTTTAGAAATAGGGAGTGAAGTGGTAGAGCATGTTGACCACTTCACTTATATGGGAAGTTGCATCAGCCAACGCCAGTGGGTTGATCACTGACGAAATCTCAGTACGGATACATAGGGCTAGTTTCGCATATGCGAGTTTACGCCGTCTCTGGCGTAGATGTGATATCCGGCTGGCTGTTGAGCAAAGGGCGGGTGTACTGCTCAGCAGTCCACTCCGTCCTCCTTTATAGTTGACTTTACTTTTGACTTTACTTCGGCTATCTCCTACGGGAGGATGAGCCGGCTTCATGAACATCTCGAATAATCGCTGCCCAGGCGCGGCGATCTGATGCAAGGTTTTGCGACAGGGTTATCCAATTCTTGTTCCACAGACGGAGTCCGTAGACGGTTGGTAGCCCCAGGCACTCCATATCAGCCTTGACTGTACCAAGCCATGCTTTCAGCTGTCCACCCCTGCGACATCGCCAAGATGGTAATGGCGAGGGATTTAGTAAAACGAGAGTTCATGAAGTTTCATGGGAATTTGGTACGAGTGATGTCCCCAGAATCGCTCGGCCTTTTGTTTGAGAGTGCAGCTCTAGCCTTTACACAAACAAGTGCGACCTACAAGGCAGTAGGAGTGGAGTAGGGAGTCCACTATCCATTGGCAACCGGTGACCGGAGTTCGGTTCATACGCCTTTTTGAATGGGGCCAGACATCCAGGACATCCAACATGCCCTTGGTCCATACGTCTGCCGGTGAGCTCCAGTGAGCTTCATACGCCAGTCGTTGGAGGTTTGGAATCAGGGTTTAGCCATCTCCCCTAGACTGTCATCCAATGGACAGTCAACCCGGTGAAGAGCGCCGGGCATCCGCTTTATAGTTGAGGCCTGGCTATCGACAGTGAAAAACATGAAAAGGCCGGCTAGCTGTCTTTGATCACAGGTGCCTGCGTTCTATCGCCCGTTTCAAGTAGTATAATATGGTGAGCAATATTGGGGTTAGTCATCGAGTTTAAAATAAGGAGAGAAAATCAATCGACGAGGCTGTGAAGCAGCTGTGTCGATCGAGATGGTTGGTACATGTGTTACTCATGCACGCCTAACCATGTCATCTCCAGTAAAACTGTATTGTTCTTCCATATTAGTATTCCTTTGTTTATTATCTCTCTTTTTTGAATCTTATCTTACTCTCTTCTCCTGGTTTGTGTGCTACATTGAGTGTGGCCACTTGAACTAGGCGACTTCATTCTGTATTAAGTCACCAGTGTGCACTGGACTAATTTTCAAGTGTTGGAATTTAGGGATTTGGTTTAATTCAAGATTGATCAGGAACAAATGAGCTCGCCTTGTAACCTGAGAATCTTGGGTGTGTATTTCTGAAGAGTTCCAAATAAGGGCGACACAACTGTTCAGTACTCTCTGGTTTCCAATGGTGTGCTAACTGAGGTCGGCCCGTAAATGCATTACTTTGTTTTGTTTTCTTGTTCAAATTTACAGTATTATCTGTCATCTAGAAAACTATTCGTACTTCTATTTACTGATTAATGAAGTCATGAACTTCGTCATTTTTGTTCTCTTATTTTGAGTTGATTTTTATCATTGAACAGCATCAGTTTTTTGTGCATTTAACACTGGCATCTTAAAATAGTGAATTATACACAAATTTCGAACTTGATGCTCATGTGAAGGATTTAAAGCATTTGGAATAAAGGGAATACAAAATCGTGCCACAATTTCTATTATCCTAACTTGAAGAAAATCATAAAATTGACTGATTGTATAATTTTCACAATCGTTTTTTATTTTCTGCTTTAGAAACTATCCTTATCAGAGCTTCGTAAACTCCTAGGACCTGATGTACCTCCTGAACAAGCTGGTTTTGTTGGTTTTACACGCGGTAAACCAGAGAGGTTGTTATCGTATCTTGAGAAGCGTTTATCGACATTTTGACATTTGTGTTGTTGGACATATTTCATACAATCTAACTGTTAATATTCTCTAGCACTGTAATTACAAAATTAAGATGTAGTGTGACCTTTTGCTTTTCATTTGATCACTTAGATGTTTTTAATGGTTGAATTACAATGTATATTAATATGACAAACATATTATTGTATCTAAATTACCTTGCCTTGAGACCCTGAAGATAACAAAATGTTGTTACTCAATAATAATCACAATAAATGTCACTACACTCTACTAACCTTAAAGTATATGTATACACGCAATAAACTCTGAACTGGTAAGTATTCTACCACTAAACCGCCGATGAGTCAACAGTGTTATTAAGTTATCCTATCTGCGACTCGTCAGCTGGGTGTACCTGCACTGGGCTACCTGGATTTCCATCCGAGACAATGCATCTTATTTCGTTTAATTCTTGTTGTTATAATCATTCAGTTATGTCTGTACTCATGTACATTTTAATTGGTTTGCGAACATCTGGTAGACCAAAATGATACTATAAGCGAATATTTCGTACTTTAGATCGAACATGATGTACTTCAGATGGCTGTTTTACTTGAGAATCCTGATTGGAGAGAAGAAATTATACAATTAACTATTCTAAAAATTGTGCATGTTGTGTATAACATCACATTCATGGTGTTAAAGTCCACATTATCTATTCAGTTTCACACTCGTGCCGTCTGTATCGCACCCATACATTTGTGTCAATTACGTGACTTATTCTGTCCAGGATTATCTCCGCTTAATGAATCCCGTAACTACATATATTAGTATTCAAATGAAAACTGGCTACTGCATTTTCTTTATTTTGTACTTATGTTATTCACCATCGAACTGAGTATAACTCGTCTTATTCGTGTCTGTTGATGGCAAAATTTGGAAATCCGTGAATCACTCCATTCCAAACAACTAATTTCCTATAGAACGCCGTTATGTGCGTATTTATTTTAGAATCTTGTAAACACTCTGAATAGTATTGCGGGCGTATATCTGCTTTTCATGGAACTCTTTAGTTTGTTGGTTTTAAATACCCACTTTTACTCCTTTACTCATAGAATATTCCCATTCCGTCGCGTTTCGAATGGAACATACGCTTTCAAGCTATTTCGAAATTCCAGTAGCGGTAGTGTTGGTTTTACGAGGTGAGGTTGCTAGCCTCACACCCAATCTTCCCTTATTTCCGGGTTTGTTGTCGGCTAGTAAAACTCGGCGAAGTGTAGGATTTCGTCGGCTGAGAATCGAACCTGGACCACGTACGTGGTTGGCAAGTATTCTGCTACTGAACCGCCTTATACAACAACAATCTATTTAGTCGTCCTATATGGGACTCGTCATCTGGATATGCCTGCATCCCCAGTGAGAGTAGTGGATGACTTTTCTTACTGAGACTTAAACTCAGTACGCATCGATTCAAACTCCGTAGCCAAACACCCAATGAGCCACAATTATGTAATATAAAAGGCAGCTAAATGATAAACTTCAGGAAGATATCTTTAGAAGGAATAAAATTCATTCACTTAGTTGTTTTTTAACATACAACGTCTGCACACTACTGTACAATGTTGTTGTAAATTATTCGATGATAGGGTATTAAATTATTTTCATGGTAATTGTTCAGTTTTATGCAATGATGTCAATGAAAATTTAAAAGATATTTCTACTTGTACAGGGTAGTATTTAAATTTTCAGGCTTGATTAAATGCTTATCTAATAGGATTCAGCATATATGTACAGCTGATTCAGTAAATAATGACAATAAGATTTTAGCTAATGCACTTGTCGAAAACAGGATATCCTTTGTATTTTTTTTAATTGGTGTAAAGGTCTGTTAAGTTCAAAGTTTACAGTTTTACTCTATTCTTAAGATAGTCTAATATCAAATTACCTTACAATTGGGGGGTGGGTGGTGGAGGGGAGATAAACAGTATGGTTTTAAGACAGGGACTAAATTCTGTCATCCATAAAACTTAACTGTGCATCCTGGTCTATAATTAGCACACACACAAAAAACAACCGTTAATATGTTCTGCCATAAGTCTTCACATTGCGGAAATAATTGCGTCACAATCCCATATGGTGTATCAGTTTACATGGGCATGTGGAGACACATATATAAGGAGGAGTAGTCACACTATGGGCTTGAAAAACACTTGGACACCAAAACATTGATATACGCAGGTGGCAGACTACCAGCTTCGTCTATTGAAAAATACTCTGCTGATATATATCATAAGATTGTTGTCAAAATAATACATTAGTAATTAGACATCCATTTAAGACGAATAAATAAAATAAAAATCAGTTTTATCACCCTAACTTAATCCTAAACCTAACTCTAAGTGAGAAACTAGTCAGAATGGAAATGCAGAATAGTTCAGGAATAGAATTAATGCTAGGAAAAGATTGGTTTCTCGAGGTTATTTGATAGGTCGTTTGCTTGGGTTGGGGTACTTTGTGTTCACTCAAAATATTTCGTAGGAAATTCCCATAGGGATATATAGAAAATCAAAATAAATGATTCAGCGAAGACTTTTCAACGAATTTATTATCAAGCTGTACAATCTCGTATATACGTATGGTTTTGGACAAATTTTATCCGGTGAGGGAATTGAATCAAACGTGTGAATACATAAAATAATAATAGTATGACATGCGATTTAAGTGTTTGTGATTATAATCCTAGTTAAGTGTCAAAACAATTAATGTCGTATATAGAACAATTTGTAGGATGTATAGATGTTTGAAGGGGGTGTAAATTATACGATTAGTAAGTAAGTATAATGAAAACGTTACGTAACACTGAAATTTGACAACTTTTGTCTAACATTGCAAAAATAGATTTAGAACTACAAGTGGGACGAGTGAAATAATACCGGGGACAATTCAAAGTGAGAATAATAATCTTAGTAACAATTGACGTAATAAGGAAAGAGTACATAAATTGAATGGACAAAACGAAAAAAATAAGTGGAGCCGAAATGTAAACGGGGATTATCATACTTTAGCCTAGAGGGATTAAGACCATGAAAGTTGGAGGGGCAGTACGACCTTTTTCTGTTCTCAGACATCTGACTTTTCCATTTCGATGAACAAGGCTTCAGCAATACAGATGAGTCAGATACGGAATGATTCGGGCAAATTACTTTTCGGCTTGTAGATGACTTTAAAGGCTAAGGCTGTAAAGATAGGGTGGTCACTTCGATGTTCAAATTTCACACAATGTTACATAACGTCTTCATTATATTTGCCTACTAATCCTATAATTTACACCCCCTTCCAACATCTATACATCCTATGAAATGTTCTATATACGACATTAATTGTTTTGCCACTTAACTAGGATTATAATCACAAACATTTTAATTGTATTTCATGCTATTATTATTTTATGCATTCACACCTATAATTCAATTCCCTCACCGGATATAATTTCTTGAAAACCATATGTATATACGATTGTACAGCTTGATAATAAATTCGTTGAAAAGAGTCTCTTCTCTGAATAACTTATTTTGATTTCCTATACTCAAAATAGCTCTCAAGATTATACAAAGTTAGACAATAAAATATGCTCAGGTGGTAGCTATCCTTAAAGCCAACTCGCTCCCTGTGTACGGAAACTATGTCTTCTCACGCTGATTCCACCTTTTCTCATTCCTTGCGTTCCTAGTGAAACACTAGACTTCAAGCGTTTTTTTTAAAGTTTCTGCAGCAGTGGTGATTTCTTAGTGTGTAGGGTTGCTAACCCCACGCCCAAGCTTTCCCTGTTTTCAAGGCTTACTACTGGTTCAGTGAGATTTATGGGTGCGTTTGTCGACATAATCGGACCTTGGAACATATTCGTGGTCAGTGAACATTCTACCACTGGACTAATAACACACTAAAATCATGCCCCAGGTGAGACTCGAACTCACGACCTTCAGATTATGAGACTGACGCGCTAACCGACTGCGCTACTAGGGCCGATAAACTAGTCATTTTTATTTAATTATATTGCTAAGAGCGATGTCAATTATTATCGTCCTTGCACTCAAAGCACTAGTATTTTGTTTATTTTTATTGACCTTAACTTAAAGAAGCTGAAATTTGTAAATTTATCTGCTTAACATAATCTGTTATTTGTTTCAAGTTAAATTTCATCACGAACTGATATCGGCTAGAGAACCATTACAAACAAGAGGTATTGAACAGACGTTTCGTCCTAGTTTGGGACTCTTCAACAGTGCGCAACCATAACCCCAACGGGGATTGAACGATGGCGGTGAAATCGATGGTTAGCGTATCAAATAAGCGAAAAAGTATCTATTTATAGTGTCACTGGTTTTTAATTTTGTCTATGCAAATAGGAAAAGAATCATAAATTTTTATGTATTTCGAAGAGAAATATTCACGCAAGTAGAAGAATAATCAGTTTGACGTAAAATAGACGTTTTCAATCAATAGAGGATATAGATATATACACTGAAGATAATACTTGAATTGGTGAAAGCGATTATTGAATACTGCAGACTTTAGCATGAACAGCAGCTTTTTTAGTTTTAAGTTTATCAAGCCGTAGAGCTCGACGTTGATTACCTGAAAATAAAGCAAATATGTGTTATTATTTATAAAATATGGAATACAAAAAGACTGAGGGAAAAATATGCTTTAGATAAATTGTTCATCAGGTTCTACAGTTAAACTATAATTGTCATTGCGAGTGATTTTGAGGCATGTCACATACAACCTCCAACTACTGAACCAAATCCACCCTACGTGACTCAAAACAACAGTCAAAGACTTCGATGGACTAATGTCATGTCTGTATCCTCTAATTTCTTACTCTTTTGCGTAGGTAGCACAGCGGTTAGGACTGTCGCCGACCATGCACATGGTCCGGGTTCGATCAACTGCCGACGCACACCTGATATCTATGGTCGGCCTGCAAAATTCGGGCTACCGATATCAAATGCTGAAAATTCCATACTTGTACCAAAAATACTGTGTGGTTTCAAGCTATAATCAAAAATATATATAATCCTATTTCAGCCTAACGCTACGTAAGGCATTGAGGGAGGCGGTACCTTATCATACGTAAGATATATCCATGATATCTCACAATTGATAGAACTTCAATAATGTCGATCAACTCTCCGCTTTTCTACTTAATACTACGCTTAACGTGATTCATGAGTGAATTCAATTAGTGCAAACATAATAAAACTCCAAGTTACACATTATGAAAATGAAATCAATAATATTAGTCATTAGATAACAAATCCACGATTATCATTTCTCGTGTAATGCATAATTTGTCAGTGAAATGACGCATTATTATTAGAATATTTTCAGACCTAAACTTTGTATGTAAATTAATCAAACTGAAAAGTTGGCATGATTTCTTTTTCACTCTTTCATATATCTAGCTACTTGTAAACATCCCATTTCGCTTAGTAACAAATTACTTTTTCTAGATCATCTGTTTGACTATAGATTGAATAAAATCACTTAAAGCTTATTAAGAAAGAATGAAAAAAGGAAATTACAAACTGCTTTTTTTAACAGAAGTAGTTTTATAGCTTATAATAAATATGAAAATATGCTGGCATTATCTGAGCCTTAATTTTGATCAAAAACGTTCCATTGTCAGGCTGGAAGACTTCATCAGCACTTTTTTACAGTAACATAATACATATCATGTACTACTGATTGATTGACATGAGTAGTTGGTTATCACTCACATCAACCGGCAGTGCTTGCTAGCCAAATCGAAGTGATCTAAATACTGGGAGGCCGTTCCACTCAACAGTGGTGAACCCGAACGTTCCATCATCAGCCTAGAAAACCTCATCAGTACTTTTATTTAAATTAGGAAATATGCATTATCGTACAAAACAGAGATGACATGAAATTATTTTGTTCACACAAAAATTTACTTGAATATATTATTTTGTTGTTATCAATAGCTTACCTGCTATGTATATAGCTCGATTGAATGCACCAGCTGCTAACGCAATGCTAAAAACAGAACGTAAAAATTTCATACTTTTTTAGTAAGCTAATAGCTTTCTTTGTTAAAATGGAAAAGTATTTCACGGTGGTTATGCCTACATCGGTTGAAGAAGAATTTCCAAAGTTAGACAAGTTTATTTGATACAGCGCACAATGACATAGTGTTCATCACTGGATGACGTTTCGAGTACAATCTATTGCTCATAATCATTTAAATGTGATATAATAAACTTATCTAATATGGAGTCATATTCTACCACAGTGCTCAAATTTTACTCTCACGTTATCCGGAAACAGGTTGAGTTTGAAATACAGACAGAATGAACATATTTGCAAGATAAAATGGACTGATGTTTTTCTATTTTACGACTTCTTGTTGTATACACCTAGTTTTTGACTGGACACTAGTCAGTAACTAGTGTAATGTGTCTAGTCCTATCTTCGGTGCAGACTGAATTCTATCAGTCAAGCTTGCAATGTGGCCACCAGGCTAGGTGGCTCGCCATCATGGTGCTGATGAGTGCCAACTAGCACGAAACCTAGGTCCAAGGCTTCCTGCCGATTGCCTCCAACCATCTAATACACCTAATTTTGCCTTAAATCTTAAAATAACTATTTTAAGGGGTTGTCACGCACTGGCGTGAGCCCTGTGTTTTTCCCTCTGTTCGGATTGCTGGATTCCTGTTGGCTGTTAATACTTTTAATGCATCACTGAATTACTGCATTTTCAAGGTCATTCTAACTATATATATACCGAGTTTCTGTCTAGCATTTCGACTTGTTTGAGACAGAAAAAGCTCTCTTATCGACGTCCAGTCTTTTCTTTTGTTTTTGCATGCTGGTAGTGTTATTGTTGTTGTTGACGTGCGATTAGGACAGATTAGCCAGCGCATTAATTTAGTATTCATTCATTGTCACAGTTCCTGGAATAACATTTCTCACCAGCTTCTAATAGCCTAGAAAATGACATAAGTTATTATAAAACTGCAAAAATGTATAATTTACTTCAACTCAAAGGGCATAGTTACGTAACAAGAGATATGAATCTAACAACCACAATCTATTTAAACATAATATGATGAAATGTTCGAAACAGGACGGTGGGAGTGAAAAGAAATGGCAATCAGGAGTACAATTATTACGCTTATTTCCATATCTAGATGTCAAAATTTTTGCGGAGTATATATATTAATAAATAATAAATGCATTCGTGGTACGAATCAAACCCGTGGCCTCCAAATTACTAATCTCGTTAAGTTTTATTGTTTTTGATTACAGCTTGATTCCACACCGTATTTTTGGTTCAGGTATGGAATTTTCAGCATGTGATATCGGTAGCCCAAATTTTGCAGGCCGACCATAGATATCAGGTGTGCGTTGGCAGGGGATGGAACCCCGAACCGTGTGCATGATCGGTGAGAATCCTAACCACTGTGCCACCGATGCACAGTTGAGTCGTGCAGCTCAATTGGTAGAGCAATGGACTAGTAATTCAGAGGTGCCTGGTTTGAATACCGCCACCAACCAGATTTTTACTTCACCCTCAGTCATTATCCAGTACATGAAAAAAATCTGCCAACCCAAGATTGTTTCAGGTAGTCTGATATACATATATAGGAAATTCCTAGAAGCCTAGTACTCAGACGAATTTCAGATTAATAGACATATTATTATAAACCAAACTTATTAACTAATGAAGCATAAGTCACATGAAACACATACCAAATTCCAAGTCAATAAAGCAATCAATACTAATGCAGATTTCACAATCAGTCACAAATAACTAAGAATGTCAGGAGAGACGATTACATCATTCATTGGGGGATTCAAACAAGTACACTTCATACCAATGTTCTTGCGCTGAAGATGCTGTCTAGCAGGATAATGAAAGCATCGCAATTATACCACCCAGTTCAGAGAATACAATCACATCAGGACTCCATAGCGATGAGAACACAAAAACGCAATGTTCATCTTGGATAGAACTCATACAATTATGGCTCACAACACACTTCAAATTCAGTAATCAAATACACGAACAGATAAAAGGAACACCGATGGGATCGTTCATATCAGCACTAATAGCTGAAGCCGTTATGCAAAGATTACAATTAATAGCTCTAACTATAACTAAACCAAAAATCTGGGTACGTTATGTTGATGATACGTTTGTAATAATTAAAAGAAATGATTTGGAATATACCCACAAATCAATAAACAACATATCTGAAGACATCAGATTCACAAAGGAGAAGAATTAGATAACAAAATTCCATTTTCAGATGTCTTAATCACGAGAACTAACACAGGAAATTTAGAAACACAAGTATGTAGAAAATCAACGCACACAGACCAAATACTCAACTATAATAGTAATAACCCAATTACTACCCACAAAAGAAACTGTGTGCAGACGTTGTTTAAAAGAGTTCAGACACACTGTAGCACTCCGGTGTTGAAGAGAATGGAGGAAAAATACCTACTAACCGGCTTCAAAAAGAATGCATATCCTCACAATTTCATCAGAAAGTGTTTAAGCTTGAGTCATAACACTAAAACAAGCCAACATCAAGATACAAGAAATCATCCTCAAAAATATCTGTGAAATAACAGCTAGAATATTAAGACCGTCTGAAATAGACATAGCACACAAATCAGCCAGCAAAATCACTTCATTCAATATTGTGCAAACCAAAATACCCATCCAAAAGAAAATGAAGATAAAATTAATACCATTTACAAAATAAATTGCATGCATGAACTGCAATAAACATTACATCGGTGGTCAAAGTGGGCGTCCCCCTCGAATCCGAATCCAAGAACACAAAGTGGCTGTAAAAAGGCATGACATATATTCTTTCATATCAATGCATGTAGATAATTATGGACACCAATTTGATTGGGATAATGTCGAAATGTTAAATAGAGGAAACACCAAAACTGCAGTCAGGGAATTCCTAGAAGCCTGGTACTCGAGGGAATCAGCAATAAACAAACACATTACTATAGACCAAATTCACATGACAAGAAAGTTCGGATTCCAAGTCAATAAAAATGATCAATAGAGATGTAAATTAACAACTAGTCACAACAGTGGTTGCCAGGAGATACAATTACGTCATTCATGGAGAATTTAAATAAGTCCAGTGGTTGGAGGCAATCGGCAGGAAGCCTTGGACCTAGGTTTCATGCTAGTTGGCACTCGTCAGTAAGCTGCAACCTTAAGGATAAATAAGTCCATTTTATACTAAAACCTGTGCTGAAGATGTTGTCTAGAAGGACGACGAAAGCTACAGAATTAAATCAACCAGCTCAGAGAACACTACTAACTAACAATATATATATATATATGTATAGTTACAAAACCAGTACTCAATAACTTACTTATCAGATCCAGGTTTTAAAATAAGACTGAACAATGCAAACACAGGTCTGTGATCTGATGAACGTATCGTGTTAATACAGTTATACTCGAGACAAATTAAACTTTCCTTTCGCTTCGACATAAACAATATTCTATCCTGTATGTTAAATTAAAAAGAAAGTTTTTATCAAATATGCATGTGGCGAATAATCAAATGATTGTTGTATATATAAACAGAAGTTACACTGTTGCATATTATTCAAAAATGAATACGTCTTGTCATCATTTTTAAAAAATTTATTTTTTGTCCTCATCTTTTTATGTTTACAAGTTTAGAATATCTTTACTTTCTTCCAAATCGACTATTCTAAAGTGGAGAGTAGATTTCTCAAATGAATCTCAGTGAGTAATCGCTTGTCTGTCATTTGAATGGGTGACAGAGTGAAGACTAAAAGGAATACAGTGAGAGATGTCATTAGTAATTATCTGGTCTGGTTCAGTTCAGTTATAAGTTTAACTTTTCATCCTAATACACCTGAAATCACTTGAGCATATGATCACAACTATAGGAGTTTTAGTGTATCGCCATCTAGTTATAAGCAATGTGAATTATAGCCATGAAAGCTACTTCAAAAATAACAGAATGAATTAGGATGCTGTCGTTTAAGTGCATAGTCAGCTGAGAAAATACTTTTTCATTTTCTATAATGATTTGTCTTTCTTGTATGAAGTCAAAGTGATGAAAGCAGAGTAAAACAGACGTTGCTTCCATCCCTTTGAGCTTTGAGTGGAAAATAAAGTTTCAAGTTTCAAAATATCGGTGGTATTGTTTTCTTTATAGGGTCCAGTTGGCTAGCCTCACATCCAATCTTCTCCCTCTTTTTGCACTTACTACTAAGGTTAGTAAACCTGGCAAGGTATGGTAGTGTGTCCACAGGGGGGTGGGGAATTGAACCTAGATCACGCTTGTGGTTCGTGAGTATTCATTCATCATTGAATCACCGACACGAAATAGACACTAGTGCTACAAAAATACTTTTGAGATACTCATCTAAAGTTAATTATTTGGTTATATATATCCCATGACAAATATTCGATGAAATTCTGTTGATTGTATTTCCCGCATAATCGATTGTTATTATTGATATAGGGATAAAACTTAGGCACTGTGGTAGAGTATAACTCCATTATGGAAAAGATTTTATTTTGATAAATCACACATTATATTACAGTATTATTAACTGATGACGACGTTTCGAGCACAAATTATTGTTTATAATCATATCAAGGCAATCATACAACTTTCTCGCTTCGTTTATATACTTGAGTAAAATTGATGATTCGATATTTGAATAAAATCAATTTAAGATAATGTACATTCGGGAATTATATTAGTGTTATCAACAAAATACAATAAGATGGGAAATAAGATGTTTTCATAGTAAAAATAAGTAACTAGTTAGAATGTGAATTGAATACATTTTAACATTATTTATTATCCTTTGATTTGACTGGTAATAATATCTTCCATATCTCTGGTATTAGCCTTGAGTCACTTCTATTGCGCATGTGTTGGGTGTAGACTCGATGAACCAGGTAGGATTCAGTAATCAATCTCTCTCTCTCTCAACCTACCCATATTACTTCTTAGAATTTTAACCCTCTCCCACCCACCCTATTGTGTAGTGGTGTGTTAATGCATGCAGTGCAATTGCTGAGCTTCTTTCTAAATTACTTATCCTCGCAAGGTCAACCATTCTAACCTTCGCTAAATTCTTATATTCTGACAATCTGACTACTCCCGATCTACTAGTTTGACTTATATGGTTAACTTAACTCCCAGTCATTGCAAGGTATTTTGTAAATTATATTATTTTGTTTAATTGGGTCAACCGAGTCCTTTAGCCTACAGAGCTTTACTCATGTATATAAACGAAGCAAGGGAGTTGTGTGAGTACCTTGATATGATTATGAGCGGCAATAAATTGTGCTCGAAACGTGGTCATCAGTAAATACTACTCATGTATAACACTGTATGACTTTATCAAAATAAAAAAATAAAATTTCAATCGACGATATCTCCTGCGGTAACTCTGGCGGAATCTTTCACCAGATAGCAGCACATGTCAGAAATAACTTCTCTCTTAGGATGTACCACCTGTGGAATGCATTGCCCGGGGATATGGCAATCACTTCATCAACCAATAGCTTCAAGAGAAGTCTCGGCTAGTACACAAAAGTTATGGGGTTGAGCGCATCCACCGGTGGGGTAGACTAGTAATTGACATTTATAGCAGAGGAGGAAGTAGACTAGTTTTCCCGGGGGCTGTACTGGCGTTGCAAACACCCATTTTCTATAGATGTCTTATTCTGTTTTTTATTTTCTGTATACCTACTAACCCTGCTTTTTCCCTCACTTTCCTTTCTGCACTATGTGTTGTGTTCACAATGCTTCAACTACGCTACAACTAATTCTCTTGCCCTACCTTACACTTGTATAGCCTGACCGATATCCCAATCCGTAATAATCTGGCTCTCTTAAGCGTTTCTCAGCCTGACCAAAAGACTGCCTTCAAAGAAAACTCCCATGTCCCAGCACAGTCATCACATTGGGATACACAAACATGTGTTCTTACGGTATTTATAAAAGCTGCACCAATCGAGAAAAACTAAACCTGAATCCGTCGAAGATGTAGAGCCGTTTCGAAAGAACAGGAAATCAGTATCAAGATGTGGATAGATTTTTACAGGCTTATCAAAATGAAATTGGACATTGGATAGAAGGAGGATTCACCACTGCAAGGTCATTTGTAGGTCATAATTCCCCATTCCGTTGACCCAGAATCGTTTTTCCGAGTTAGCGTTAACTAGATTGATTTCTACACGCTTGCTTGGTAGTGAGATTGGGGTTCATACAGATAAATCAAATGATTGGAAGCTGTAAGTTTTTTCAAAGTGTAATCTTATCCTTATAAGGATAACGGAGTAATTATTCCGTTATAACGTAACAAGATATATCTTGTTATCAATTAACTGGAGCACATATATGTGTTCTAGTGATGAAAACAATTACTTGAATTTGTGGGGTCTTAGTTATTAACCTTGAAATTTGCGAGATCTTGTGCACTTATGTGTTGACATGTGGAATTCTACAGGGAATTACTTCACGTGTATGTATATGTATATATCTTATAACGTCTTACTTCGTGATCACATTCGTGATCTCGTTTCAGCGTTAATTTAGATAGAAATTTTTTAAATTGTCTTTTAAACAGTCTAGTATTGGAAATTATTTATAGTATGATCTTCATGTTAAAATTCTTGAAACCCTCTAGTCGGCATTTCCATGGAGTTGACACAAAGACCACTCTTCCTGTTGGGAACTAATCCTAAAATAAGATCTATAACCATTAGATTCTTGTATATATATCAGCCTTAAATCAATGTTAACCTTCTCTGTGTTATGTTTCTAAACCTACTCATCTCTCATGAAAATATTCATCTGAGAAGCTGCAAATGTTAGTTTTTCTAAGTAGTTCTTATTGTTAGCCAACTTTTTGTTTATTCCAAGTTAGTTTTTAATCTTTTTGCAGCTTTAGATATTATCAATTTTTAAAAGGAGTAAGAAATCTAGTGACGAGTATTTACGTTGATGTTGAAAACATCACACGCTGATATAAAATTGACTCTTCACACATCTTAGATTGCATCGTAACATAAAAAGCATATTTATTGGTTGGATAAGAAAAAACTGCAGGTCAGTTTACTAGTTAAATACTCTGAGCACATATATTTGATAGTTTCTTTTGTACTCACGGCGAGTCTAAAAGTCAGAGAAGTATAATTTCTGATCATAGGGTGGTAACCGATTATTTTATTCAGAAAATTTCTGAATTTACATTGAAAAATCTGAATAAGTTGGATTCATTCAATCTTGTTAATTGATGTCAGCTTTTATCATAGAAGCAACGTTGCTTCTACTACTTGGCTAATCATAGTTAATTTTTTTTAATTATTTATGTTCAGTATCAGGAAATATGCAGGCGAATAGGTTTTGATATCGAAAATATCCCTTTGTATAGTCTTTTTGCCTTGGCTTCATCACTAATTTTTCCGCAAGAATCCTTTTGTAATCAGTATACTTGCCTTTATCCTTCATGAACGACTTTAGCTCATCAGTTAATTATTTTGTTTTTCATCCTCTCGTTCTGTTAATATAAGCGATTATTCCCCTAAATCAAAGGTGACGTGTTATCTTGTGTAATTTGCTTACAGCTTTTGATGGTATTCCATTACGTCTGACAGTAGCTTATCAGGGAATTCATCAAAATAATGTTACAAGTTGCAGCTTTTCTAAATGCGGTCGGTTCTTTGCCTTTGTCGATGAACCAAGAATTGTTTTGGGTTATTGGGTTAATGATCTCATGTAAGTTGGCTTTAACTTTTTGCCATAAGTTAAATTTACTTGATGGTTCTCACTTTACTAACTTGGGATCCCTAAATAATTTTTCCTTTTTATGTTTCATAATTTGATGCATGCATTCACAGCTAAGAACGTTATTAAAGTAAATTACTGTATATGTGAACGATTAAATGCGTATTCTTTCGTCAGCTTGTATGATGCATTTTATGTGAAAGTGATAATCAGAGCCGATTGACTGAATGAACTATGGACGGTAAATCACGTTTTGAATCCACAACACAGGTTGTAGCTGTAGTAAACAAAGGACCTACACATCTGCGTATATAAAGTGACTGGTAACCTTTTGCTCACCTAATATCGTAAGTTTAGTGCTCACAGTATCGATAACATATCGAGAAGTGGGAAACAAACCGATTAATCATTCTTATAGCCAATTTAGGAATTTTTCCCATTATTCACATCCTCTAAACGTTACTTTTGTCGAGCTTTTTCCAATTTTTATAGTGAATATTTGATTTGAGTTTTTAGTTACAGACCACAGCAGTAATATCACTAACATATGACTCCCTTTATACAAACATCTCGACTACATCCATAAACTACAAAACATGTATTACTTTGTAGATAATTCTATCTAACCTAAATATTGGAGGATGCATTTTCATATTTGATTTAAAATACCTCGTCCATAACAGTATAGTGAAAAAGTAAACATTGGA